CTCTGGTTTAGCCAAAAAAGATGAAAAGCACAATGATATTTAGGATTGTAAAAATGTAGCTGCAAATTTCAAGTCGTAAAAACTACACGAGATACCCGTATGCCCCAAACAAACACAATGAAAAAATGTCGGGGGGTGAGGGAAATATGGTGTTCGACATATTCGCATGCTATTTTACCAGATCAAATCTTCGCACCGAATGCATGACCGATTGCTGACTTATCCAGATAATTGAGATGTCGATGTCAATAATGCGTATTTGACGACACAAATCCAATACAATTTTTAAACGGAGTCAAAATAATACGTGCTAGTACTTGGTACAGAGAATTTCGAACTACTAGATGTAATCCAATTTTGACGAATATCACTTGTAGAAGGACGATAAATCCGCTAGTACAGACGTTTGAATTACGATATTGCGCCAGAAAATCCTTCACAGCATAGGGCTCTGAAATCCTTGTTGGCATGATGGATCTAAATATTTTATTTTTACTTATTTATGAGGTTCTCATCGGCGAGTTATTTACTTTGTTGGATGTCAAGCAGTTGTATTTTATTGACCATCGTGTTTGCAAAGAATAATTTATTCCCATGTTCCCCTCAGACGAAAAACTTACTCGAATAATTCAAACACAATGGACAAGCTGAATTGTTAATCGATTAAGAATAACATACCAGTAGCAAGTTCTTTACTCCAAAGTACGCATCATCTCTTGAACGTCTTCAGTGGTCCAAATATGGATGTTACGAATGCTTTGCTACGATTTACCAACCGACGCCTTGGACGAGTACGTAGGGATTGGCGAAAACACTGCTATGCTCTCGTTTAAGGTAATATATCAATTTCCAAGCATGCAATATACTAGTACATAATAGTTTATCTCGTTAGCGCTTCGCGGGGGCCGTTGTCGATCGATACGAACGCGAACCTACAGCTATGCACGTCCAGCGGTGTTTGTCCATCAATGCAAAACGAGGGTTTCCTGGCTTGTTTGACTGCTTGGACTATACTCACTTGTCGAGGGGAAAATATCAGGTTGCATACCAAGGGCATAACCAAGGTCGTTCGGGTGACCGATCAATTATCATTGAAGCCGTAGCTGAGCTGGACTTGTGGATTTGGCACTTGTACATCGGACTACCTGGATCGAATAACGACATCAACATCTTGGATCGCGCGCCACTTGTGGAGAAGTTAATTGGCGGTGTGGCACCCCATTGTAACTACACCGTCAATGGCACTACCTACACAATGGCGTATTTACTCGTCGATGGTATTTATCCGAAGTGGCAGGTCTTATGAAGATTATATCGCACCCCGAGGGCGGCAAACGAAAGTGGTATTCGAAACGGCAAGATATTCGTAAGGACATGAGCTGAGCTTTGGACTGCTCCATAAGCGATTTGTTGTACTCCGTAACCCTTGCCGCCTGTGGAACGTTGAAGACATTATTGTATTGTGGCGAGCCTGTATTATACTCCACAATATGATCATCGAAGGCGAGCGTGTCCGTCACGAGTAGGAACCAATCTCAGGCGCCACCGAAACGAATTACATCTCGGACAACTCCACCTGGAGCGAGGGGCCAACGTACAACATGATTCTGGCTGGAGTTGATGTCGTACAAGACGAAGCCGTATACTTTAAGTTGCGCGACGACTAACTTGCCCACCTATGGACTTCAAAAAGCGTTACTCCGGAGTAACTTGAATATAATTGAATCGGTTGGTTCCTTCTATTGACATTTACACTAACAACTTTTCATAGTGAACTTCACTGACGATTGCATTTTCATTGAGTTCGTCGTCATTTGCACCTTTTTCACTAGAAATACGTGTCTGGTTTGCGAGTACTGAGGCTTGCTTGAGCAAAATGTAATCACGAGTGGTATCACCTAGTATTGGGATTGTCATAAGTGACAAGTCTGTTGCGCGCAAAAACATTTGCTCTTCAAAGCTCTTCGATGTCATACTGCAGCGGCGATCCCCAACCGCCAACTTCGTTGCCGAGAAAAAGCGCTCGCACATGTTGGATGTAGGGCTGTAGGGCGCAGGAAGCGGCAATCCTTGTAAACGCTCGGGGCTCGCAGAACCTTGTTCTTCTTCAGCGCACGCTCCGCCAAAGAAAACACCGGCACAGCAACGCCTTCTTCGCTGCCTTGGCTCGCTTGAGAAACCCGCAACGCCTTGATGGCGTCAGCTTCGACGCTGGTCAACGACGCTTCGCTTCCAAGCAGGACCTTGACAACGCCGTCTTCAAACGCTGGATTCTTCACAATGACCGCGCTTCGACCCAATCGTGCGTCGGCATCCGGGTAATCTTCGATTACGGTATCGAAGATTTGTCGAACATCGAGCAAGGAACACTTTTCGGATTGCAGCTACAATGTAATCGCGTTGAGGTCTTCGAGCTTTGTGAGTAATGCTGCTACCTAGCGATCTACAGCAACATTGAGACGTAAAACATCAATGTTGTTGTCATTAATCTCAATCAAAGATGATTTGATTTCTTCGAGTATAACATGTGTATCGTCTTGTGCTTGGCTTCCTTACTTCGAGTACGTTTATCCTTTCTGCAAATGACTGCAATGCAAAGAAAATATAATGGGACAGCGTCGTGACGTTATTTAAATTATGGAGTCAATTAAATTATATAACCTTGAAGTGGTCCATCAAGCTGAAGTGGAATTTGGAATGTCAACTTTTCTGCAGGTCATCAGATTATGCGTTTTGAAATAGAAATAATGTTACAACGAAGGCATTGGTACAAAGAATCCAGTAACAGTGTAAGCGTTTGACGCGATAGCGCAGTGGTTAAGCGTGACGGCATCAAATGATCGAGGAAGAGGCCCGGGTTCAATTCCCGAGCAATGTCAAACTTTTTCTAAATTTTCACAATAATAATATTATACTCCAAGAAGTATACAAAATCCTAGATATAAAATGTTTACTGATTCAGAATTATAATAACTCTCATCATTCTTCATTCACTGGCGCACGATCGAGAGCCTTCGTAAAACTGGCTTGGACGACCTCAGCTGACACCAAATCCCGCGCGGCAACGGCGCGCTTGATCATTGCCATCCTCTTCGGTTGGGCGGTCAGTAAGTATAGGTCTTCGTCGTCCCCTTCGATCATTTCCTCAAACAGCCACAACTCCCGTAGGTGACGCTTGAAGGGAACCATGCCGCCGACGTCCAGTGGCTGGCAGACGGAGGTCGAGTTCGGCGGCAACGGACACATGTGAGAACCCAGCTCTTCGTTTACAATCTTGACTGACATATGCGACTCGAAATTGTCGACTAGGACCACAGAACACTCCTCGATGCCATCGTGGAGCACTGAACGGAGGAACTGCTTCCACACACGCGCGTCCATCCACGCCTTCTCTTGGACACCGTAGGAGTGTCCGGCTGGGAAGGTAGGGACTTCCTTTGACTCGATGCGACCGTTTGGCTGACCCTTCGTAATGAACATGATAGGAAGCTTTGTCCCATCGGCACGAGCAGCGAGGACAGCCGTCATGAGCATTGAATGCTTCTCGCCGCACGAAATCTTCGAGCTACCTCCACGAACTGTCCAAATGTAGTTCGGAGGCATGTCATAATAAAAACCTGTGTCGTCGACATTGTACGTGGCTTCTTGCCATAGGCGCTGTATGATCGGTGGTATTCGTTGGCAAACTCTTCGCGAGTCTCGGCGAGGTCTTCCTGGCTTTTCTTACCCTTGCCAGGTCGTTGGCGTGAGAATCCGTGGCGTTGAGAAGCGCAGGAGTAGCTAAAGGATGGATTTGTACCCGTGCCTAATGCCATCGATTCCAAGTAGTTGATTAGCCAGGGTCGTTGGTTTCGTTTGATCCAAGTGATCATGTGCATGGTCGTTAGGGCACGCTCGGCGTCACGGAGGTCATTGATGAATTGGACGAGTCCGGGTGAGTCTGGAAACTCCTCATGGAGGCCTCCTGGTGACCCTTTCATCCGCTTCTTGTTGCCATTGTAGCCTAGCAACACCAACCGCTGGGCTTTCCAGTTACGCAGAGTGCTGGAAGGGATCCCAAGAGAGGTTGCAACTTCGGTGTCATTCATGGTCTCCAGCATACCCAAAGCTTCGAGCTTGAACCGCGATCGAATGCATCATGCGTGTCTTTGATTTTATTGCACGCTGCCCAACTTTGCCCGCCATTTAAAAAAACACAAGTTTGGCGGGAGATTAAAATTTTATCCAATCACGTGTTTAGATTCATGAGAAATCTTTCTATTGGGCAAAACAAATGTTGAAGTTGTAAACTTCGGTTGTCCTTGCATTCCGTAGTTCCCTGTGCTTTGCATCTTTTTGTCACTTACATGGTTAAACACATTGTTTAAAAATTTCTCAGGCCTAAATAACGTCTAAATGTCTCGGCCTAATCCTCTGCTGCAGCTGACTGCTAACGCTGGTGAGTTTCCCCACAGCGCGTGTGCGTACTTTTGGGTCGTGTGCATCTACATCTCGGTGGTCTTGCGGCCGAGCACAATGTCCCCCTGCTGAGCTGGCCCTCGCTTTCACCCGAATCTAAATCCAATCGAAAAGGTTTGGGCATACCTTGTGCCAAAGGTATACGCGAATGGGTGCCAATTTTCGACGGTTAGTGAGCTCAAGAGCGACATTTTGCGCCAGTGGGACGCCATTGACCAAGTATTTATCTTGAAGCTTATTGCTTCAATGAAATCGCGTTGTGTGGATGTCGTGCATTGCAAGGGGTCATGTACTGTACCAAGTATTAGGATGGAATAGACCTCTTGACTAATTACCACGTCAGAAACTAATTGCACAATCTTTTAACAATTTCTTGGGTGATATTGGAAAATCTGATGGTTTCGACCAATGTCTGGACCCATTTTGGAAATGAACGAGTGATTAACCAATGTTATGAGTAACTTCCTTTTGATAACGTGATTTTCTGCTTTAGTCTTTAAAAACATAAATACCGAGTACAATTGTAATTGATTACAAAATGCTTAATCAAAAATACTACTTTCGTCAGCACTGTCGTAAAAATCAACCTCGGAAGTGAACTGAGCACTCTCCCCAGTAGAAAACAAAGAACTCAAGCGCCGTTTGCGCTTTTCGCGAGACTTCATGACTGAACCAGCACGCTTTGCTTTCTTTTTCTGTCCCGAGGACAAAAGTCCATTGACATGCCTACGAAGGTCATCTCCGTCCACTTCCCGTAAAGGCAAGAAACAATTATGGAGGTTCGTAAATGCCACACACGTTTGGAAGTAAAGATCGTAATTTTCTCGCTTCCACGTGTACGTGTCATCCACGACAGACCACAACGTCTTGATACGACCGAAAAAGTTCTCCACAATGACACGATCGCTCGCAATCTTGTCATTCACGGCCATGTCGGCGGCAGACAAAAGGTCACCTGCTGGTCGCTTCATCGGAGTGATCGCACGCAGTTGGCGGTGAAGGCCTTGGTAGCCTTTGTCAGCAAGCAGAGCCCACGACCGGGGATACTCTTCTTGCATTGGGCCGTCGTCCAACATGTCGTCTTCTTCGCCAATCTTCTTCAGTTTGTCTTGGTGAAAATCGAGGTTCGACTCGCAGATGGTAATGTCAGCGACGCTTCCTGGCACAGCCGTGGTCACTTTGATGGCGAGGCCGTTGGGCAACACACTTGCTTCCACCTTCAAGCCGTACTGCCCATGCTTCTTGCTGTAGAAACGCTTCTTCTCGTTGAAACTTCCGGCAGGCGCGTTCGTCCACTGAAACGTGACGTCGACAGCGTACAGTGCGGATGGGAAGTTGTTGAACCGATGTCCACTCGTCTGCAGGTGCTGCATGGAGTACTTGTCCAACACGGTGTCAATGTACTTGGCCCGCAAGGTGGGGTGGATGGCTGCGAGGAAGGTGTTAACGCGGTTTGAAAACGTTGGCGACTTCTCCTTGAAGGCCACAGACATCACGTCCCACGAGCCACAGTGCTTCATGCTTGTTAGGGTCATGAAGAGCATGTCCCGGCCAGACACCTCACACTTGCGACCTGAGCCGACGTTCCATTCTTGACTGACGCTGGACTGCAGGTCCTTCCAAACCAGGTTGAACTCACTAAGGGAGAAGTTGGTGAGCTCGTGTACGACAGCTGGACCTCTTGTCTTGATGACATGAAGAATTTTTTTGAATGACAGGCGATTAATGGCTGTCAAAACTCGTTTTCGCGCCAACATGTGCATTAAGTTTTGGTGGTTTGGTGTCTATCTTTGTCGTGAGTATAGTTGTTTTTTCATTTTTAGAGGGGTATTAAATCTCATGATTCTGGACGACGATCACACGCTACAATCCAGTTATTCCTTTTGACATGGGAATGACTTCAAGTGATTTCGTATGTCACAGAGTGATTTCCAAAGTCACTCACTTATTTCCAAATGATTCAGTGTACACTCGATCACATAGTCTTGAATTCATTGGTGAGTTATTTACTAGAACATCTGTCAATTCTAAATGACACTGTTGTTGACTTGCGACAAAGTAATTTACAAAACATATTCATGATATTGGAAAGTGAAGCATTTTTGGTTGAAAACCGAGTTACTGGGTTAGAGGCCTAATGAAGTTAACGATTTATCAATAATTGCCGTTTTACATCAAAATTCTGAAGTGTACCCATGTTAAATGGCCAGACTTGTTTTTTGCTTGGAGTATATTGCACCTTTCTCGTCTGGTTCAGCTCGTTATTGCAAAGCACAGGTATCAAATTAAGTGTCTTGCCAATACACAACAATTGAGACTGAATGCGTTGCATGTACGCACTCAAAAAGAACCTTACGAAAATAAAACTGGTGTACCCATCTTCTATGTCCAGGACTGTACTACGTATATCCCTAACGTTATAAATTACGCGTGCGTTTTGCTTGTTGTATGTATGCCAGGTGGCTGCTGGTACAGTAGCCGAGTCGCGCACTTGTGCAGTAGCATTCGTTGCCACCCGACCTGCTAGGATTTGACAGGTGAGATGTTGTTGAGCTCCAGGGCGTGGGGTGTTGAACTTGAAACGCGCTGGATTAATATAGAAATGGTGCGTTGTATTTACACTCTGTAGGTGTGCATTGATGAGTATGCAATGCACCAGCAGGTACCGGTATATGCATGCACGATTCGACTATGTCGCCTCCAATTTGCACGCAATGTGGCAATATTTTCTGGCCAATTCGTCAACGCATCGATGTCTTAAATCGATTTCAACTGATGTCAATACGAGCGAGCGGGATTACACAGTCCCGTCAATTCACTTAAGGATGAACGAGTTATGGCCAGATAGCAAAGGATTGGACAGCCCAAAGTTGTATGATAGCGGGTACCCGTAGATTTTCGAGCATTTCCTTTGTCACAGACCACCACAACGTCGTTCCTGTTGTCCGTTTTGCCGTTTTGCGAGCTTTAGGATGCTTCGTTTTTTCTATTGATCACAAAAGTGCGTTGACTAGAAGGGTGTTCCACAACATATGAAACTGTTCGCAAATCGTTACAAGGTGCACCGACGCCTCACTCAAATGTTGCCGGGCCAAGTGGTGACAAGGAATCACGTGCAAGTGAGCAGTTTGGTCTATGACGAGCCTCCCTCCAAGCACACTCGTTATAAAGTGGGCGGTGTCCTGTACCTCCTTTTGACCGCCACGGGGTCGGTGCTTTACCTCGTCGTGGTCTCCCCCAGCATGTCCAACGACTACTGGTGGCCACGCTTCAATACAACCAGCACCCAAACGTTCATTGCGGACCTGTACAACTTCCTGCTCACGACCCCTACGACAGGCCCCTTTGACCTCTTCGCTACCACCTCCATGATACGCAAAGACTACTCCAGCTCAAGCACGTTCATCGGCATGCACTCGTCGGCGGCGCGGGCGATTCTGCTGCGCCCGCTGGCCCTGGACGCCGTTGTTCCCATCCTGCGGTCTGTCGACTTGTTTGAAAACATGCGCACGATGCCACCGCCGTGCTGGCTAGACTTCAACCGAACGTTCGAAATGGCCCATACAGCTCGCCACCAAATCTTGTGCAACGACCGCCACCAGAGCAACGCTGCCTTGTACTTGGAAACGTTGCTACGAAACGTCGACTCGACAGACTTGTCGTCGTCCCTGTACCTTGATCCCCTTCAAAGTACCATTTTCCATGTAGTCGAGGCAATTTCTGTTGACGGCGTCCGATGGATGGCTCGGACAGTCAACCATACGTGGCTGCCTGTGGCCCAAGAAGTGGCGTTGTGGCAGGCCCATGGTCTATCGTACTTTCAAAACCAGCTACAAAATCTCTTCCATGAAGGCTTGCGGAACACTGTGACCATCGTCAGTGCCCTCGGCATGCGTGGATACGTCACCATCCACAATATTCCGTTTGAGAACAGACCCAAAGGCGCGTGGTCCACTGGGTATGCCTACTGTGGATTCTGGAACGACTTAGAAGCAGGTGCCTGGACAGCAACAAGCCTGATTCGATCTGCGCCAAATGCGTTTGAAGTGATGGGGAATGACTGGGACGAGTATTACTGTGGCACCAGTGGCAACGCCGCCACGGCTCTGATCCGATCGAACCTCGGGCCTCTCACAACCATTGACATCTACTTGGTATCGCTACCTCCCGTTCTCACAGCACTCTATGCCACCTTCTTGAACCAACTACACAACGCTGTCATGCTACAGCACCAAGCGTATATGCAGTTGACCGAGCCAACTCTAGAGGTCCTGCCTGCAAGTTGGAAGCACCAAGATGCAGTCTACTACGGAGGCAACCCCTTGTGTTGTTATGGGAACCCTATGCCTTATGTCCAGCCATCGTTTGGATACTACGACGACTGCGGCACCCAAGATCGTCACGTGATCAACATGGCTCGAGACAGTGTACTCTTTGCCATGTTCGCCACAGTCATCACATCCTCGGACCAATTGACGTCCGTGTGTGCCCTCACGACGGGGCCGGCCATGTTTACTTCATGCATGCAATCCCTTTTGCCAGCTTCAGCCGTGTTTACGACTCTTCTGAAAGCCCCCCTGGAAGCGTTACGTCCCCAACTGACCCAAACATCCCAAACCATTGCAGGGCTCAACGTCAGTTTTATCCAGTGGGCCACCATCGCTGGCGTGGATCAAGTGCTGCATCAGCCCATGATCACCTCTTCTTCTACTTCTTCTTCGTGGTCGTTCATTGGGTGGATGACCATGTTTGACTGGGCCAATGGCCAAAGAGAAGTGTACTCGTTCCAAGGCGACCTCAACACGTATGTGCTCATGTCTCGGCCGAATCCTCCGCTGCAGCTGACTGCTAACGCTGGAGAGTTTCCCCACAGCGCGTGTGCGTACTTTTGGGTCGTGTGCAGCTACATCTCGGTGGTCTTACTGGGGGTGATTGGCCTGGTCCTGGTGTACAGTGCGTGGAGTGGCTTCCACATCGACGGCCGCAACCTGTTTCGAGTGAATCGTGTGGTGGGGGGCTGTTGGGTCGGCCGCCCATTCCTCTGTCTCCGAGGCCTCACTGCCATCCTCGTCCTCAGTACTTCAAACGTGGACTTTACTTCTACGGGCGGTGGGTTGTCCCACTTCTCGTTCAGTCGGCGGCCCCTGTGGCAAACTCTCGTCCTGGCAGGGGAAGTGTCGTGGATCACATATGTGTTGAACGACATCTTGCTGCCCTGGACCCGGCCCTTCTCGTCGCAGTACTCGTATCTGAGCAGTCTCTTGACGTGGGTATCTGCCATCTACATTGAAAGTGCCAGTCCGTACATGGCCCAAGCCACAGTCTCCACGAACTGCTCCATCGTGTCCTTCATGCGAGGACTGGAATGCACCAGCGGCGATATCCGCATCGGCAGCCTCCAACGCACAGGTGTGCTGCTGTTGATCGTGGGAACTTCCACCGTCGTGTCGTACGTTGGAGTGGCGCTGGCGTCCAAGCTGGGCGCTGCTCGACACACCTACCAAGTCCCACCCAATGTACTTCTCGCTAGCACATCGGAAGCCTTTTTGGCCCACCCAGTCAACAACTTTTCATCGCTCGATGCCGCCGCCTGTGTCATGTCTGGCATTCTTCCCTACGGAAACAGCCTCTTTGACATCAAGATCTGGGTCACGTTCCAAGCCAAGTTGATTGGCCCCCTGACGTACTGTCTGCTTCCGGCGTCGCTGGACATCCGACCCCTCGAACCAGGCGAGGCTAAGCGGAGACGCCGAGCCTTCCACACTCCAACCCAGCCAAAATCGCCGTTTAACATTCGAACCGTGGGGCTCTTGGGGCTGTTTTACATGGTGGGGGCGGTGGGGCTGAGCTTTATCTTCCTCAGCATCTCTCGCACGACCCTCGAGAACGACTTTGTCTGGGTCGGATTCAAGCAAGCCAAAGTCCAAGTGTTCTTGTCCAACTGGTTCAACTTGAACCTCCAGATGGCCTCCCCCACTTTGAACTTCCAAGTCAATTCTGGGGGCTATGGCGACTACGCCACGACCAACAACAGCACCAAACTCAACGTCCTCTCGTCGGCCCTGTACGCCATCGCCATCCAGGACGAAGTCAACACGCTCGCGAATGTCGTGCGTGGTCTGAGACAAATGGACAGCTGTTTGCTGCCGTGGATAGCCACCGCCTACTGCTTTGCCGACCTCGGTCGGGTGTACGAGATGGCCCACAGCGCCACGAGACAAGTCCGATGCCACCAGAAACAAGTGTCCAATGGAGCAGTGTACCTGGAAACCGTGTTTGGCAATGCCCACTGGGTCCCGTTGAACGAATGTTGGGGGGCAGCACTGGACGTCGGTGTGTTTTCCTCTCTTCGAATGACCAACGACGGAGCTACATGGGTCCAATCCATTAAATCCAATGGACGGTCAGAAAGCGATGAAGTTCAGTGGTGGCAACGTCACAATATCACTCGGTTTACAACCCAGTGGCAAAACTACAAACACCTAGGCATGACCGAGTCGTTCTTTGTGTCCAACGCCATTGGGCTACAGTACCCCCTCACCCTGAAAAAAACCAAGACATCTTTTCACATTCCCGCAGCCACGGCATTCAAAATGAACTGGAGCTTTGCCAATGACTTGACTGGAGTGCTAATGGCCAATGGCAGCTCGATCCTGGCTGGAAAGAGTCTGCTTCGTCAGAGTGCAACGTATGCCTTTGTCAACTCGACTATGGAATCAGCCATGGTCGAACAAGAGACTCTGCCATCGCCACTGGACCCAGCTTTAACCCAGTTCGAAAGGGACATTGGGCCGTTTGGCGTTGTGGACATGGCGCGTGTAGCGTGTCCCCAGCTCCTTCTAGACTACTACCGAAGCCTGTATCGAACGCTGCTTGGCAAAGTCAGCTCAGGGGACGACGCCATCCAAAGCGCGTTTTGGACGATGTACACGTACAGCATGTATTCAGCTTCACCTGCGAGGTGGGATACCAAGCGACTATGGGGCGGGGACATCAATTGCGGAGTCAACTATGGCGGATGGGCTACAGCTCCATTTCAATACTTCAGCTCCAACGGCATTTGCGGCAATTTCTTAACGGATTACCAAGGCGTGGCCACAGCCAACTCGATCATGGCGACCATGTCCATGGCTTCGTTAGCCATGGAGTTCCCCGATTTACACCGGATTGGCAATAGAGATAGTGTCAACAGTGATACGATCGTTCAAGCTCTCAACGCCTCATTGGTATTTGCGATGATGTATTACACACCAGCAGAACTAGCTCAGCAACGTTCCAACGCTCAAGTGGTCCAAGTTCACATTCGAGATGTTGTCCAGCTGGAGCTGGTGCAGTACATGAGTGACGACGACGACGCAGCACCCATGGAATTGTCTCGCGTGAATGTATTTGACCCTACAGAACCAAACTTTGAGTACTTTGCGTGGCTGTACCTATTCGACTGGGTCGAAGGCAAGCGGGAAGTGGTCACGTTCCAAGGCGATGTTGGTCAAGTAACCACCATTTCCACCGTGCAAAATTACATCGAGCGACCAGTCGACGCCCAGGAAGTACCTGTGAACGCGTCGCTGTACTTTATGCTGCTCATCCAGTACATTACGGTGGTCTTGTGCGGTGTGGGGTGTCTGGTGTGCGTGTACATTGTCACCAACCGGGGGTACATAGAAGGCGTCAACATGATGAGCTTCTCCCTCGTGGCCGGCCACGTCTGGATCGGGCGGCCGTTCATGCTGCTGCGGGGGCTCACGGCCATCTGCTTCCTCTCCACGGCCAAACTCAACCTCGTGCGGCCCCACGACGGCCTCGTGTCCTTCTTCGACTCGCCCGACCGGTCATGGCTCATGACGCTGCTGTCGTCGGGGGAGATGGCGTGGCTCGTGAATGTCATTCACGACACTTTCTCCGTCCTCACCAAACAGTACACGGCCGGATGCTTCTCCAAAAGTGCGCTCATCGTGTGTGTGTCGGCCGCCATGTGGAGCTTTGCAGCCCCCACCAAGCACTCGGTGTCTATCTCCCGAAACTGCCACGTCCCGGCCGTGGATTTCGAGGTTGAATGTGTCAGTGGGGTGGTGCAGATCGGGGACTTTGGCCGCTTTTGCGGGCTCATTGGACTCGCCTTTGGCACTTGTTTGGGGACGTACGCAGTGGAACGACACCGACTGTCCAAACTCCAGCAGCCCACGTCGCACTGGTTGTCGTTCTTTCTGTATTCGGCAGCCAAACACAAATTCGAACGCACGATCCAACGGAATTGGGAACACGACGGGGTATATTACCTCGACAAAGCGTCTGCCGCACTGACGGGGGTCTTGTCAGTTGAATATCGTGGAGCGCTGTACATTTTGGACATCAAAACGTGGCGGGTGTATGTGATCTCCCCGGATCAATTGGCTGCGAGGGGCGTGAACTTGCCTCCGCATCTGCAGCATGCTATCCCTTTGGTGGAATAATCCAACTATGCGATAACGTTTGGCTACGATTTGATCGGACAATTCTCCTCGGCTCGAAGGAGTCGCCTTCAGAAATGGGGAAAATGCATCGGAAGACTCTTTGAACTCTAAGTTTAAGGATCGTATGCTGCAATTGTTATCGCGTACGACCGGTACCGGTAGTACTAGTGCACTCTTTTCATTTGATCGCATTATTTTGTACTTCGAAGTACTACGTAGTACTAGTACAGTACTAATATAAGTTAGCGATTTCTCCTGATGGTGGTCAATACTGTAGTACTTCATGAAACACTGCAATTAAAGTATAGTATGCTTGGCTATTAGATCGTCGTTGTTGGTGTCCAAGGACTGGCTACTGTAACGTCAAGCGAACGAATACATTGGTTGAAATACTGTACTGATGGCTTATGCATGGGGAATGGTGTACCCGTGCTCCTATAAATGCGAGCTAAAATTTTACGCCGCCCTGAATAGGGGGCGATGGGCGGTAGGGTTGGTCTTGGTTGGGTTCGGGCGTCGGCTAGGATGGGCCTTGGGGCGTTGGCTGCGGAAGCAGGGGGTGTTTGGGGGGCTTGCTAGTAACCCCTCACTCGAATACATAACATCAAATCATGTCCAGTTATTTCGACAGAGTTCTCGTTTCCATTCTTAAATGTGTTTTGCCACTTACATAATCCAAGTCACTGCCTTGGATGCCTTCGTGTTGGCAACGCAACACCTTCGTCGACTTAACTCGTATCTGGGCTCGACTTACTCCGCTCACTTGAAGTGTCCAGTAGGTCCAGCTCCCAACAAGTACAGTACCTTGTCACAGAAAGTCATTGAGCTAGTTTTGCTGTAGTGCGTGCGAGGTTCTCTTCGGGTTGCTTTTGATGAAGTGCATCTCAACATTACTGTACTTTGCAAGCACACCAGCACTGTACTATTCGTGAACCACCAAGTAGTCATCCAAGTCGCATGATCCGTCCGCCCTTGACATGTAACTGTAGCCATTTCAACGCCATACGGGTCACATGTCCAATTCCGTCGACACCATACAACAACACGCCACATCATTTGTACATGGTCAAGCTGAAAATGTTGCCCAGGGGTTCGAAGTACCACGTCGTCACGTCCCCCGTCAAACACTCACACCACCACCTGGTCAACACGGGCGCCTTTGTCTACACATTGGCCACAGCCGCTGTACCGGGCGTCCCTGCGGGGCTTCGGTAGTACGAGTTGCCCATGGCGTCAAACGCATTGGGGGGGTGGATCGAAGCATACTCAGCAGTTTGCGCACACGCATCCAAGTCGTTCCAGAACCCGCAGAACGAAGTGGACCACGAGCCCTTGGGCGCCATCTCCAATGTCCGATCAAAGTCGACCAACGGGGCTAATGTGCGCGTGTTTTCGAAACGCGTTTGATGGCAACGCGGAGGAGGGGTCTGTCGTCGCCGTGAGTTTGGCGTTGTACAGGTCTCCCAGAAACGTCTGCACGCTAGTGGCGTTGAAGTGCTGCCACCAGTCGTCGTTGGAAGTGCTTGGCGACAATGTGGCCAAGTACAGCACGGAGCAGCTCCTCCTCCGGTCGCAGCTGGGTCCTCTATCTGTCATCGGCATCTTTTGATTTCCCTGCACTGCTCGGGGTTGTCCCTGCGTGTCTAAACAACTTGTACAAAGCGGTGCTGCCTCACCCCAACATTACCTGAGGATCCCCGAACCGTCGCTTAGCGTGCCCCCCACGACGACACGGCAGCACCCCAATGCAGTCTACTACGGAGACAACCCCATGTGTTGTTATGGGAACCCTATGCCTTATGTCCAGCCATCGTTTGGATACTACGATGACTGCGGCGCCCAAGATCGTCACGAGATCAACATAGCTCGAGACAGTGTGCTCTTTGCCATGTTCGCCACCGCCATCACATCCTCGGACCAATTGACGTCTGTGTGTGCCCTCACGACTGGGCCAGCCATGTTTACTTCATGCATGCAATACCTTTTGCCAGCTTCAGACGTGTTTACGACTCTCCTGAAAGCCCCCCTGGAAGCGTTACGTCCCCAACTGACCCAAACATCCCAAGCCATTGCGGGGCTTAACGTCAGTTTTGTTCAGTGGGCCACCATCGCTGGCGTGGATCAAGTGCTGCATCAGCCCATGATCACCTCTTCTTCTACTTCTTCTTCGTGGTCGTTCATTGGGTGGATGACCATGTTTGACTGGGTCAATGACCAAAGAGAAGTGTACTCGTTCCAAGGCGACCTCAACACCAATGTACTCATGTCTCGACCCCATCCGTCCGAGGTCATGGCTATAAACCCCGTCGAGTTGCCTTATAACGCGTGCCCGTACTTTTGGGTCGTGTGCATTACAGGAACTGTAAAACAGCATTTTAGGGATTGCCCAACTGCACTCACTCAAAAGAAAGCTCCACAACTTCCAACAACCTGCCTATCGTGAAATAATGTAGCTACCCGCTATTTTTTGCAACTCTATCCGTTGTTTACCGGTAGTGAATCCTTGTATTACATGTTAGAAGTATACATCACATTCACTATACACTCAAGGCTTGAGATTGCACTTGCATCAACCTCGGGTGGTGGTCGGCATAACACACTTTGCGAATACCAAGGCACTGGTCGTAGTGTGCTTTCACTTGTTCACGATGGATTCGCTCGTCTTGGTCGGCTCCCGTCCACACTTTATGCTTTAAACACAAAGTTCCAGCTGTCGCGAGCTCCAAGTAGGCCGTTCCCAGCGCCAACGAGTTGGGCGGTAGCGTGGCTTCCAACTGCATCACGAGTCGTTTTCGAAGGTCGTAGCAACGCAGGTACATCCCCGCCTTGAAAGCGCAATCGGAGAGCAATCTCACGGCGGTGGTGGCCATCCAGTGGCAAGGGTGAAGAGTAATCACTGCGGACTTATCGTTCCAGAACGTATCTAGAATCGATTGGGCTTGCTTGAACTCTTTCTTGTCCATCTTGGCTTGGGCTGATTGAATGGCGGCATCGGCTTGGGCTTTGACGGCGTCGACGACATCGTTTGAGACTTCGCCGTTGCATTTCGGACAGGTGGAGTAGTAGGAGCCACCGCGATAGTTCAAACAAGGGACAAGTAGCTCGTGACCACCGCAGCCTCGACAGCACACACCGTCGACGAGAGTGTCGGCAGCGGCCGGCCCCACCTCGTTGCATCGGTCACACCGACAGTCAAAGTGTTTGGTCTCTTTCAATTGCCGCTGGCGGGCCTGTCGAGGCTGGTGAACGTCAATGTACGTGACTGTGATCTCGTCTTCGTGGGGGATGAATGCTGTGGTGCGCACCACCATAGCCCCTTTCGAAGGATCCGTGGACCAAATGCAGTTGGGCTGGCAGCTGTGGTTGATCAGCCCCGCCAAGGGGAACAACCCAACAGACGCGACTTGACCGGTGGCGTCGGCTGTGTTGGCATCCAAAGAGTACGAGTTCTCGTTTATCCGTGCGGCAAGACCCACGACCTCTGGTACGGACACTGCACATTCCGACGGGAGGGACTTGAGAATGAGCTCCGCTCCTGCTTGCACCGAAGCCAGCCACGCCGGACTGAGCTCCTTCGTGGCATGCACCATGTCCACTACGTCAGAGTACGTGGTCGTAATCATAGGAGCCGAATCTGCCACCTTGTGTGGCAACGTCGCGGCGGCGCGCGTGCACAAGATTCGTGTGATGAGACACAACAGGTGTCTATCGGCGCGAGACTTTTTCGCAATCAAGTGGATGTCTTCCAACGTCGAACACTCGAGATCGTGGACGACTTTCAAGCGTTGTTGGCATGCTTCGCTGCAAAACGAGACCTCGGAGCAGTCGTCGCAGCACAGATCGGGGTCGGCAACGGCATAGCACACGGTGCACAGTACCTTTGTGACCACGACGCTTGCAAATGGAATTTCAGCAAACAGCGTCGTACCAGGTGGAATGCCACCAGCCGCGGCAACATGGACCGATCGCCCCTTGACTGGGTGCGTTCGAAGCTCGAGCAAGGGTAAGCCACCACCAGCAATACACGACGCCATGATAAGCTGGGACTTAAGCTGGACGACTCCAGGCGCAGCCATTTCAAGAGCGTAGCCCAAACCCGCTCCCGATTCCCAAGACTATTCGCTGGCACACCAAGTGGGTTCGGGTTGAACTAAATCTAGTATTTTGATTGGTCACATAGTGGCCAATCCGGATGTCGCATTTATCCGGAAATGCATTCGGATACGACGTTCACGGTCGAGTTGGCATTTTGTTGATGCGATCGGTCCATCAACGCGTCCTTGACGACCAGCGCATCATTCACCAAAGTGTACAGTCTTCCTAACGTATCATCTACAGTCTCCTTACGTTAGCCAGCGGGTAGATTCATTCACTCTTGTTAATCCCCCGGGAACTCGTGATTGGCTGGATATCCTTGTCCTTTCAGTAAGAGCAAATCGGATCTGACCGAGATCTAGTCGCTCTAACAGATTTCGTCTATAGAGTGCACCCAACCAAGTATTATTGTGTTTATTCTAAACTGGAGCGACATGGAGAATGAATCGACGCAACCAAATATATTGAAGAATCGACAGAAGAAATTAGCCAATCAGATTGCAGGAAACCATCATCTACGCCAAACTATTAATAGTGTGTGACTTTATTAGTGTGATACCAATCACCACAGGAGTACAAAATTCAGTACTACGTAGTACAAAGAATCGATCGATAGATTTGGCGATTCAGCACAAAAGTCAACCAAATTTTGGGTTTAATGACAATATATATACCCAACAACAAAGAACACGATTCTATAATCGTACAGTATATGTATCATACAGTCGTTTTACCCAAAATTTGGATACTACCGTACTTCCCGCTCATCTGTAACGGTGATTTTTTCCCATACAACTGTAACCCACAAAATATCCCGATACAATTATCAAGACTAAAATAATGCCAGTCTGCTGGAAGCAAAATAGGCGTTCCTATAAATTTGTAACTAGTGCCCCATGATTGGATAAATAATACTTCGAAGTAACCAGTTAAAAAAGGTTTGCCTGTGTGGGTGGGTGGCGTATGGAGTTAAAGGCCGTGGACATCGTTGGTTGCTCGAGTGGTGAGGGCACGAGAAGCTGCACGTCCCATGAGGTTTGCGGTGACAGCTTGACTGTCAACGACGTGGTTGTTATTCGCTGTTAAGTTGTCCGAGTAAACGATGGCCTTCTCGAAGAAACACTCAAGGTTTACAAGATTGTGGGTGCAGAGCAACTCTGTCATGTCGGCTTTCTGCCTCGTCGACTTGTCAACAGCAAGAACAAGTTTGCGAACAAGTTTGCGATAGTTGTAGAAGACTACAGAGTCGAATACAGTGCTTCCAAGCGATCCCGTTCCGATAGGTGCATTGGCCTCGTAAAGGCAGTCCTCATGGAACACATTGAAGAGTACAACAGATCATAGGATTAATATCCAAATTAATACAGCTACACGAATCATTCCATTCCATATATTAATATCTGAAGGCATTTTGATTGTGGCTGCCTTTGAGCAACCAGAAGTGGTTTGAATCATTCAAACACGCGGCAAACATTTTAACCAATGAAAATACTTGAATTACGCGGAAACGACAGTGGTATGGTTTTTGCCATTCCCATGAAGTTGTAACTATATTTGAAACATTTTGGTGGTTACAGATGAGCGGGAAGTACGGTAGTACTTTTGGGCTGAATCGCCGCCAATATCTCTTTGTGATAGGAATCACACTAATTGAAGTCTCACACTAATTTGACGTTCATGATCGTTGCAATCTGATTGGCTCAATCCTTCGGCCAATGCTTCTCCAGTTTCGAATACAGTAAACCATACTAACGTTAGTGCTGGATCGTCCTACTGTCGTCCTATATTGATTGAGAATATGGGGTTACAACTTGCGGTACTTGGCGAGGTTTGTGATTTCCACGACTGAATGGCCAGTCTTGAGCGCAATCTCTTCGGCCGTCTCGTGCTTGCTGAGGGCGTCGAACGTGGCTTTGATGACCGTGTACGGGTTGCGCTGGCCGCGGCACTTGGACACGACGTCCGTGATGCCAAAGCAGTGCAACGCACACCCGACTGTGTCGCTCACGGTCGTGCCTTGTCCTACCTTGGCTACATACATAAAACCACAAAACCACAGTTAGTACTACTACTAGTAGTAGTACTACTACGACGACAAGCACTTACAAGGACGGATAAACAGCTCGCAACTGTTGAACTTGCCATTCACTTCATGGTACAACGTCCGGTCGTCGAAGCGGTCGACGTACGTGAACGTTTCGATGGCGCGGAGCGTGGCGCGGTCGATCGCTTGATCGATCTTGCCGCCGCGACCGACTGCGTACCCTGCGCATCCATCTTGGTTGCCCACCACGACCAGCGCGCGGAATGTCAAGATGTTACCCAAGGTCGTGGGCTAATGGAAGAGTTTGATATGAGCAAGGATGGAAGGATGGATAGATGGACGAGGAGTGAATACCTTTTGAACAGTGTCGACAAAAACGACTTGGCTGACGAGCCCCAGCGCATCCAGGTCGAGAAAGTTCTCGTCGTCCAAGTTCCATCCTTCGACGGCGTTGGCTTCTTCGTCTAGTTCATCCTTTTCCTTCAACAGACCCATGTCGGGGCGAAGACCTGATGGGAGGATGAAGCGGCTGATGAGGGTTGTGGTCGTGTACGGTGGTAGAGTTGGAGGAAGGGGACCGTACCGTCGTCGTAGACAAACTGAGGATCGTCGAAACTCATGCCGCGGGATCCATACTCGTCCAGCAACCGACGACGCGCTTCCGCCATGTTGTTGGGGGCAATCGCTTGGTATCTGTGTTTGCGGGCGGCGGCAGGCGCCAATTGACGGAACTCGTGCCCTTCGTCCTTGTACTTGCCGTACAGCGGCGCGGGATCCGTGGGTTCGTCTTCGTCGTACTCGGCGAGGTCGTTCGCGCGCTTGATCTTTTGCTTGCCGGCTTCAAAGCCTTCGATTTCCGCGAGGTCGTCGTCGTCGCCTTTCTTGTCCTTGCGAGGGCTGTCCTCATCGTCGTCGTCCTTGACGATGCCCGACACCTTCTTGGCACTGAATAGCCGTGCAGAGGCAGGCACCTGTTGGCTGCGCTTCAATTGCGCTCCCACGGAGCGAGCGGCGCGACTCAGCATGTTCAAATCGCCCGAAGTGCTTGGAAAATGACTGGTCTTGAACTCTAGCCAAAGATTTTAGCCAATCAAAATCGCGCCAGGTGGTGAAATTCCGAGCGATTGATTGGTCCATTTTGAATTACCCAAATACTGATGAGCGCCGCCAAAGCCGCCGCGACAGCGGTGTTGGACCGCGCGTCCTTCTTGCAGACGCTCCAGGTCATGGGCGTCGCCGCGGAAGGCAAGCAGATCGGACACATCATCAAGACCTTCTCGCAGCATCTGCTGAACCGACCCAAGCTGCGCAACGTCGTGACCAGCGCCAAGCCCAACGTGTCCAAGTTGGTCTTGCTCAGTGAAAAGATTCAAGGCAACGACCTTACGGGATGTCCACAAGAGCTGCACGACTACATTCGAGCGGAGAACCTTCAGGTACCGTCGCCTCGTTCCTTCCATCGTCGGCCTGCTGACAGGATGACTGACTGATGCAGGTTCAACCGCATGAAATCTCGCTCGACTATTCGTTCTGGTCCGTGGAACACGTCCTGCGGCGCATCCTCCCCGACACGATCACCGAGATCCCCGCGTCCTTTGAAACGATCGGGCACATTGCGCACTTGAACCTCCGTGACTTCCATCTCCCGTACAAGCACGTGATCGGCCAAGTGATTCTCGACAAGAACACGCCGCGCATCAAGACCGTTGTCAACAAGACCGACGTCATCGACAGCGTCTTCCGCACGTTCCCCATGGAAGTCTTGGCCGGCGACGACAACATGGACGTCGTACTGCACGAAACAGACTGCACCTTCCACTTCAACTTTGCCCATGTGTACTGGAACTCGCGGCTACAGCAAGAGCACCTCCGCCTCGTACGCTCAATCGACCCGACCGACGTCGTATGCGACATGATGTGCGGCATCGGTCCGTTCGCGATCCCCCTCGCGAAGCGCGGCTGCATCGTGTACGCCAACGACCTCAACCCCCACAGCTTTGCCGCGCTCAATGTGAACCGCCAAAAGAACAAGGTCGACGGCCGCGTCCGCAGCTTCAACATGGACGGCCGCGCGTTCGTTGCCCACCTGCTTGCATCCAAGATCCAATTCACCCAAGTGATTATGAACCTGCCGGCGATCGCGCTCGAGTTTCTCGATGCCTTTCCAGGCCAGTTTGACCACTGGCAAGGGGATTTGCCCACTGTCCATACATATTGCTTTACGACCAATATGGACTCACCCGACAAGGATGTTCAAGAGGTACGTACCTAGGTGAAGGATGGGACGTACCTATGTGAAGGGAGCGGACGTAACTGGATGGACGTGTGCTTTTGTAGCGCGCGGAAGCCGTGTTGGGCGCGCCGTTGACCGAGTTCCGAGTGCATCATGTGCGAGATGTGGCCCCCAAGAAGCTCATGATGTGCATATCGTTCAAACTGCCCGCGGCGTCGGCGTACTCTGCCGACAAATTCAAGGACCTGCACAGCAAAAAACAAAAAGTTGCGGCCGAGTAGTATTGTTTTCATGAAATAATCGTGGGTTTCCACCAAAAATAGCGATTTTTTCACCAACATTTGCGAATTTTCCCGATCTTTTCACCAAACTGTGCGAATTTTCCTCAATTTTGCACCAAAAGTTGCGAATTTCCCCCAACTTTTCACCAAAAGTTCGTTGCAAGATGTGGTGGTTGAGAATGAATGTAGCCCGGACCGACGACAATCAAGGACATGGGCTTGCATTAGTAGTAGTACGACACACAAACGACCGCGCGAGGATGTAACAGTCGGGGGGACTGATGTTCCTATAGTAGTTGTAGATGGTCTGTGTGATGCGGAAGCCGTGGGTCGTGTAGAAGCGAATGGCGTCGGTGTTGCTCGTCTGGACATGGAGGTAGATGTGGTCCATGTGCGTTCGCTCGCAATGCGCCAACACGCTGTCGAGGAGAGCGCCGCCTATGTGCAGTCCACGCATGAGTCGTCCCATGAATCGTGGGACATGACGACGATCATGGATGCTCTCACCGAGTTTGAGTTTCCGGTACGGCTCCAACACACCAAGCGTCATGATGTACACGCGATCGAGTCCGTCTGGCGTAGCTTCTACCCGACAGCAAATGGAGCTCACAATCATGCCATTCACGTAGCCTATGTACAGTCGCCACGATGAATGATGGACGATGATGCGACCTTGTCGACATACCAAACTTGGACAGCTCACGCGGGGTGGACACGATGTCCGTGTAGAAGCTATCGGTGTACCGCACAGGGAAGATGACTTGGTTGAGGACACGCAAGACGCCCACATTCTGTGTCGTGATGGGGCCGAACTCGATGGGCAACGCGCCGCCGATTTGGCTTGTCATCGTCGTTGTCGGAACTTTTGCACCACACTCTGACTCCGGAAAAAACGAGGATTTTAACCGGATTTGGGAATTGTTCTGATTGGCTGGTTGAAATTTGACCGATCTTTGCGAGGCGGCAGCGCGGCGCTGTCAATGAAGGTCCAAGATGACCCTTTGACCACCACGAAGCGACATAAGCAGCAGTGGAATGCATCAACCAAACTGACCCACGCGAAGAAGCCCAAGTCACCATCATCATTGCGAAAGGAGGAGCCACCCGTTGAAAGCGACATGCCAACTGTGACTGAAGCCGCGCGATCGCTCGTGGAAAAGGCGGTGGAGTGTGCGGTGCGGCAAGATGCCGTCGATCGCACGGAAACTACAGACATCTTCAACCACCAACAGACAATGCATGCGAGGACTACGGAATGGGCTGTGATGCAAGAAGACTTGTCTCGACAACTGAAACAGGACCAATTGGCAACCGACCAACGGGATAATGACGAGAGGTATGCCATCCTCGACGTCGACCTCCACCTGGAACGTGTCCGCCTTGAAAAGAGTCGACGGAAGGCAGCTATCCAAGCCTTTCAGCGGCACTTGGAGCGGCAGATCCAGCAATTGACAGCCATGGCGGAGGCTGTAAATCAACGCGAAGTAGTCATGGACGCGGCATTCAACCAATATGAGACCTGGGTCCAATCCCACCACACTCGCACCACAACATAGAATCTTGCCCCTTTTTAGCAAATGAATAGCCTTTATCGATGGAACCCCTCGGTGCTAACTCTACTTGATAGTTCACATGCATTGAGTACGTACTACGTAGGACGTGGTTAGGCAGATTTCGTCAATACAGTCACGGATATTGCATCCAAGCGGCAGCTCGCAGGCACTTGACGTGACAATGTATTTTCACATGCAAATGGTACCACGGGCCTTCGAAACCTGTGTAGAGATATAGACTGTATCGAGAGTAGTGGGGGTAGGTATCTATCTGGAAACACTATCGCAGAGCGCAACCATCCCATAGTCAACTGACATTCATTTACTGGTAACTAGTATTCCTTAAGCTTAAGGTGCCCTACCACAGTACTAACTACTCCGCAGCTACATTCTAAGCTTACTAGACTAGTCAGGCGTGACCTTGTCGGCTAGATCGGTCCTATATATGTACTGAGTACTTTGTGTTGCTGGTTCATTTTTGAAGGCTGCTTTATTGCATTCAAATTTTCAAATGCTTTATTGTATTGACTTGGGTTTGTATACTGTGGGCATTGTATTTTATTTGAAAACCACTCGTTTAATTAAGTAAGCCCTCCATTTGCAAACATTCGTGATGGGACGTGCGGAATTGCCCATTTGGCAAGAATTCACCGACAAGTACCGGGCGTCACACCGCCGCACCCCGCTGGTCCGATGCAAGACGTGCGACGACGAGATCTGTGCCTCCACGACGTCCCTATACCAGCACAAGAACAACGTGTGTGGGAAGAAGCTGCCCCGCCGGTCGTCGTCGTCGTCGATGGACCCCAACCTTGTTGGCCACCATTCTCCTTCTTCTCCCGGCGACAAGGAGACCATTGTGGTATCAACACTCGTGTCCACGCCCGTGACGACGCCAGCTGAGGTCGCTGACTTGGTTCCTGCCGCCGCTTTAACGACGGCGACGCAGAGAGAGGAACACGAGATGCAGGTTCCACGAACAGCGGGAGCAGTTCCAGACGTCGCACCGACAGTTCGCAAACGCAAGGAGATTTGGGAAGATTTTGGGGACAAGTACAAAGTTGATGGCCGAAAGACCCTCGTGGTGGACTGCAAGATGTGCGGCAAGGACGTGGCGGCGGCCACGACGTCGCTGTACCAGCACCAAGCGATCTGCGCCAACATCCAGGTGCCCAAGCAGCAAAAGCGTCCCAAGGCATCTTCCCACGACGTCAAGCCGACGCCTCATCCGCCTCCGCCGTCGTACCTTCCCGTCGAAGAACTGACTAAGAAATTCCTCACCATCCAAGACACAATTCTGCAACTTCGCGCACAACTCGACGCCGCGCACGCCGACGATGCGCCGGCGCTCCAGTCGGCGCTGGACCTGTATCAAGCCATGCGGGCGAACGTTCTGGACAAACTGAATGCCGTCGCCCAGAACCACTGCATCGTCTAACTCGTTCGTGAGCAACGGCGATGGGCATTTGAATTGGGATGTCCTACTACTTTACTAGTATACAAGTCGTCTCCACCATCGTCAGTCTACCTTGTGTAACGTTAATGGGGTCACCGTCGTCGTCTAAGCTTCATATATGAAGCGATCGAACGCGGTTGCTCCATTGGTCTAAGCTCCTGTGTACACTATCGTCGTCGCATGTTCCATCGCTCGCTGGTAGTTTTTCGATATTTGCAATTCTCGACCGATTTTGGACGGTTTGACAATCTGTAACTGTCACTTCGCAACCGGACAGACTGTACGTTTGAACTTGGCGGGACGACGCTTGGAGGTTGGGCAGCGCAAGGCCGCAGCAAAGATGGCAGACGAGCAGCAGATGGTGAGCCAAGACGAAGTCGTGGACGACGCCGCCGAGCCTTCCACTCCCCGGGAACCATCGGACAACAACATTCGCATCTTCCTCCGCCTCAAGCCTTCCAAGAAGGTACAGTACATCGCATCATGACGACGATGCTTCCATCGCCTTCGTACATGGAGCATGAATGGAGCATGACATGATGAAAAGAACTCCATGAGATGATGATGGGTAGGTGTCTGGGTTCTTTACGTGGGAGGAAGAGCAAGGAGCCCTCGAGTATAACATCCCCAAGGATGTCGCGGCGGGCCTGATTAATAATTCCCGCACCCAGTACATAACAATATATATATATATTATTGGAAACTCGTAATAACGATAGTATATATATATATATTTGTAGGTACAAGTTCAAGTTTGACTCGTTGATTGGCATGGAAGCCAAGCAAGAGGAAGTGTTTGATCGCGTCGGGCGCCCTTGTGTACAAAAGTACGTGGAGATGTGTTATAATTGTTACATACAGAGGGATTTGAATGTCTGTTGTATTGTTATAACTTGGACTGACGAGTGTGTTATAAATGTTATAATGCATTCTAATCCTTGTTATAATTTGATTAGTGCGCTCGAAGGATTCAACTCGACGATCTTTGCATATGGGCAAACAGGATCTGGCAAAACATTTACCATCACGGGCGGCGCTGAGCGGTACGAAGACCGAGGAATCATCCCTCGTAGCTTGAGCATGATCTTTGGCGAAATGAAAAAGGTATGACAATTCCAAGAATATATATATATATATTAATATATTTATTAGTACCCCGACCGCCAAACGAACGCGTACATTTCGTACTTGGAGATATACAACAACCAAGGCTACGATTTGCTCAACGAAGACCACCAAAACACCAAGGACATTGAAGACCTTCCGTATGATATATATTATATATATTATATATACATTTATGCGTAATTTGATACTGATTGTGGTGGTGTAGAAAAGTATCCATGCTGGAGGACGAAGATGGCAACTGCCACCTCCGGAACCTGTCGATGCATCGCGTCGCGTCCGAAGAAGACGCGCTCAACTTGCTCTTTCTCGTACGTCCCACCTCGTCAAATGATATGTGTCCCGTCACTGAATGATATATATATATCACATTTCCAAAAATGATATATATATCACATTGTGCAGGGCGACACGAACCGCGCCGTAAGCGAGACGTCGATGAACTTGGCATCGTCGCGGTCGCACTGCATTTTCACCGTGTCGTTGGAATCTCGGCGCGGCGGCGGCAGCGAAGTGATCCTCCGGTCCAAATTGCACATGGTCGACTTGGCAGGGTATGTAGTAGTTAGTACCTATACTAGTACTACTATATCTTACTATCAAGTAGTCCATACTATGTAGTCGTCTATGTCATGCCTATATACTATTAGAAGTGTCGTCACCACATACATATATATATATATATAATCCATGTTACCAATCGCTGTGTGTTCAGATCCCACTACATCTACATATATTGTCCTTTTACCCCAAATTTGGATTACTTTTGCGCTGACTCGCCAAATCGATCGATCAATTATTTGTACTAACTTTTGTATATAAAACGTTGTCCAGTGGCATGCTTGTAATCACACTACTGTTCGTTTCGACATGATTTGAGCCAATCAGATGGCAGTAACCATCTGATTGGCTCAATTCTGAATAAATACAACAATACATATATATATATTGTCCTTTTACCCCAAATTTGGACTTTTGTGCTGATTCGCCAAATCCATTGATCGATTCTTTATCCTGACTTTTGTATGTAAAAAATTTGTGCAGTGTCCCACTAATGTAAGTAACATATTCGACGAGTGGATTTGATTGGCTACTTGATTAGTGGGTTTTGATTGGTCGTATATCGATTGTCTGCCAATGTGGTGATTCTGCTCATTCGATTGAGCACCCCACTCGAATCTATCGACTTGACAATATATATATATACCAACACCACACAATCAACAATACCTGACCATATATATATATATATATTGTATTGTACTGTACGTTCTAACGTAGCTCGGAGCGAGCCCACAAGACTGGCGCCAAGGGCAAAGTCCTTCGGGAAGCCACGTACATCAACACGTCTCTGCACTACTTGGAGATGGTGATCGTGGCTTTACATGAGAAGAACACCAAGGGCCGGTCGCACATTCCTTACCGCAACTCGATGATGACATCTGTTCTTCGCGACAGTCTCGGCGGCAACTGCAAAACTGTCATGGTTGCTACGGCCAGTGCCGAGAAAGAGCAGACAGATGTACAAATATATATATATATATTATATAATAGGGTGGTGGTATTAGGAATCGCTGTCCACGTGTCGATTTGCCCAGCGCGTGGCTCGAGTCCGCAACGACGCGCACTTGAACGAGGAAGTGGACCCGGTGATTCTCATCCGGCAGTTGAAAGCGCAGATTGTGGCGCTACAGGAAGAGCTCACGGTGCTCAAAGGCGACGTGGTAAATATTAATCATATATTATCAATCATATAAATAATATTATAATATTTTTCCCATTTGAAGTATCCGAGGGAGGTTTGATTCTTGTGTGTGCTGTAGAAAGAAGGCGACGACCTCAAAGAGTACGAAAAGGACAAGTTGCGCCAAAAGGTAAGATATATTTATACTAGTATAGAGTACAATATCAGAGAAATGTACTATTACACTCATCTATCCATAACTAATTTCAGAGAAATGTAGTTATGGATAGATGAGTGTAATTATATTAATATTATGGTAATATATATATTATTTAGGTGGTAGAATACGCCAACAATCCCGACGCGGATGCGCATTTGAACATGGGCGAGATCTCGTACACCAAGATGCGGCTATGCTTTGGGTTTTTAAAAGCCATGATCACGGGGGATTCGGCCACTGTTAATACTACTAGTAGTACTACTACTAGTAGCAACCAGTCGGGACATTCAACCAACCAAGACGGCGGGGGAAGTTTGTACAGCTCGTCCGACCCAGAGGTAGCTATGTATATATTATATATATATATATTATATATATATCACTATTATGGATTCGTTATGTACATTCATGACTCTTCCTACTACTAGTTGCATGGCCGGTTGATGGAATTGGAACATACGATTCAACAGCGCGACAACGAAATCGCCATCTTGGTCAATATGCTAAAGCAGGCAAGAATCATAATATATATATACATTTATACATATATATACATATATATATATATATATTTACTGAGGCCGATGTTTACATAACGTTACTACTCCAAAGCAATTGGTTTACACTAGAAGCTAGTTGGCACTAGTATGCTAATGGGTAGTACAAAATACTCATACACAGGGCCTACAACTAGGGACAAGGCGGCAACAACAACAACATCAGCATGTTGCCATCTACGTCTTCCAAGTCGCTGGATGGCGGCAGGTCCGCGCAGTCGTCTGTAGCAAAGCCACCAGTGGTGTTGGTCGCAGGATTCAATGTCCAAATTGATACAGCATCTTTGAACGACCCAGCTAAAGCGTTTGACGTATTTCGTGACCAGTATCCCAAGAACGATGTATTATATATATATATATATATATATATAAAAGGGCGGCAGTTGGTTGAATATCGATTGCATAATCAGGCGATTCGTGAAAACAAGGCGTTGCTCAAGAAGAAGTACGACACGGCCAAGGCGTTGGCGGCGACCGTGAACGAAGCGCGCAACTCTATCAAGGAGCTTACGGCCAAGATGGAAAAGCTACGCACGGACAAGGCCGTGGCCAGCGTCATCACGACCAACCTGTCGACGACGACCGAGTCGGGTCTTGTGTCGGACGACGAGATGGCGATTGTGGCGGCAATCGACGCCCACAAACGAGCGTACAAAGTCGGGTTTAACCAACTGAATGACCTGAAGAAGGAGATTCAGCACGTGCAAAAGATGCTCGAGATGGGGCGTCTGAAGCTGCAAAAGGACTTTGACGGGTGGTATCAAGCACAAGGCCGCGGCCATTTGGTCACGGAAACCCTCGTGAACAAGCAAGATGTGGCGGTGAGTGAAGAATGTATGTCTTTATAATTCTATATAGTGCTATTTGTGTAGAAACCACCACCGCCGGTTAAGGCAGCGTGGCCGGATATCGCCCCTGGTGGAGCTAATAGTACTAGTACTACTAGTACTACTAGTACAGCTAAGGCCACCACGCCGAGACAAAAGGATGAGATTCCCAAGACGGGCGACGCGGCTGTGGACAAAGATGTGACAGGGTTCTACGAAGCGCTGGACATCCTCAAGCGCCGCAATAGCCGCAAACTGTGATGATGTATACTTGGTAATGTTGTTGTACATGCGATGTGGTGCGAATTCGTTGTTAGTACTACTAGTACGTACTAGTAGTAATTAGTATGGCCGAAACCTCAATATTAACTATTAATACTATCAATATTACAGTATAATAGTGCCATTTTGCTGTTGATTGCGTAACAAATATGATGACGAGTTCAACATCCATGGAATTCGTTCGTCCGGATAATGATGTGAAGGCGGCGTGACGATCTTGAACGTTAGGCATAAAATAACGAGATTGGCTGCTTTGTTATTTTAATTCGATCCCATTTTGATGAAAAAAATACGAAAAGATACTATGTACTAGTATTGCACTAATATTAATATTACTTCGATGTATTATAAATAGAAAAAGAACCAACCAGCCGCCTTCTTCGAAGTCACTTTTGCAAATGCAACGGATCCTTCGACCAGCTTCGAATTGTCGTCGCCTTTTCAACGTCATTCGGCAATTGCCCCACTCCCACCACCGCCGCCCCATGAGCTTGTCTTCGTCCACACCATCTACGTCTACTTCGTCGTCCGAGTGGACGCCTCCCCGCAAGATTGAAGAACTGTATGCCGCCGCCGCCGGCAACAAGTTTGCGTCCATCAACTCTCCCGAAGCCGGCGCCCGTGTGCAGGAAGCGCTACCCGTGGGCTCGGCTTCGCTGCAACTTTACTCCTTGGGCACCCCCAACGGCATCAAGGTGTCGATTCTGCTGGAAGAGCTGGGCGTCGACTACGATGCGCACTGTACGTTCACGACGAGCTACTCCATACCCTTCCTGACCTTGTCGTTGTAGTCATCAACATTGGCGCCGGCGATCAATTCAAGAGTGGGTTTGTGGACGTGAACCCCAACTCCAAGATCCCAGCGCTGCTCGATCAAGACGGACCGGATAGCGCCCCCATCCACGTGTGGGAAAGCGCGTCCATTGCATTGTACTTGGCGGAGAAGCACCGCCGCTTCCTTCCCACGTCGCCGCGGCTCAAGGTCGAAGTCATGAACTGGTTGTTTTGGCAAATGGCTGGCCAGGGCCCCATGACAGGTACCTAACCTACCGACCTATCTCTCTGGAATGAGTACTTTTGACCCTGAGTGCAGGCAACTTTGGGCACTTTTTCGTGTACGCGCCGGCGGACAAGGGCGCCGCACGGGACTACGGCGTGGCCCGCTACGGCATGGAGACACAGCGGCTGTGCAGCGTCCTGGATAAGCACCTGGCCGGCAAGACGTTCCTGGTCGGGGAAGAGTACTCCCTCGCGGACATCATCGTGTTCCCATGGGCCCATCACCTGGACACGGGGTACATCCACACGCCGTCCAACGTTTCCGCCAAGGAGTTTTTGAGCTTTGACAAGTACACCAACATCCACGCGTGGCTGGCGCGCATCCGAAGCCGCCCGGCGGTGCAGCGCGGGCTCACGGTGTGTACGCAAGGGGTTGGCAAGCCCTGGCTTCAATAGTTTAGTGGCATTTTGGAAAAGAAATTGTAGTAGTAGTAGTAGTAGATGCATTCTCTACTATTAGTTCTCGACGCTGGATGGTTGAAGAGGACTAACGAGAGTACGCTTGTGTTCACTGGCAGTTTGGGTTTCAAGTGGTTTGTCGACCCCGTACTATCAATAATATAGACTACGAAGTTAGTACTATTATCGTAGATACTAACTAGTGTATACTATTAGTAGTACAGTAGTACTAGAATTCCACAATTAATACAGTGGTATTAATTATGTTGTGATCAAATAAAGTCGGACAGGACATCCGACGTTATCTTGATTGGCTTAAATTTGCCAAATTGACTGTAATGAATGTTTCACACCACAACAATATTATTCCGTCTAATCCAATGTTTTAATAGTGTTACGTAGTAAGCGTTCCGTCGGTCTGGATGCCACGAAAAATGGCATAAAATGGCCTTTTTACCAAGAAAAGTTGGCAAAATCGAAATATTCCATTTTTCGAGATTTTGTGCGTCTGGATGCCACCAAAGTTCAAAAATTTATGCCACCATTTTCTTGAGAATCGGGTGTTTTATGGCATAAACAATATGGACCGATTTGGTCCAACTTGTTTATGGAGGTTTGTGTTCATGTTGCAGTCTGCACTCGGAAATCGAATAAAAAAATTCCAAAATACAGCTGGTATCCAGACAACTTTGGAGATACTGCTTTTCTCCTTTTCTTCATGGGATATGAGACTTGTGGAAAATTTTGCAAACTTGCCAAAACAAATCATGGCATAATTTTATGGGGTGCACTTTTAGTTTTGCCCCCGGTGTTCCTAGCACCCCCTTCCTCAAGTGCTACTCGGATGATATCTCATCAAGGATCTGATCCATGTGACGGAGACAGCTATGAGTACAGTGTAAGAATCCCCCGTTCGATTCCGAGAAGCGATTTACCTTATCCACAAAATCTTGTAACTAAAGTGTAGTGATGAGTCTTTCAAAGGCCTTGTAGATCCGCACAGTACTGTACTACAATGAGTGCAGGGGGCACTCTTCTCGACGACCGTTCCGTATCGTCGTAAAGCAGTCGGCTTATGCCGTCTCTACAGGACAAACCCCGAAAAACGTTAAATAAATCTGGATACCGTTCAACCAAGACTGAAAACCGTTCAAACTAATAAACTCTAGTTATATTTTTTGTACTCTGACCACCTCAACCCCGGGGATTTAGCATTATACTTCGAAGTATGTGCTTGTGGGTAGGACGAAGTCCCGGGGTTACAGGGTTATGCAACATCTTATGCTTTTGCCTTACTCTATGAGTAACCCACCAGGTGTGACGACGACTCTCCCCACTTTAACGGCGGGTGATACATGCCCAAGTCCCCACTCTAATTGGTACTGTGAAAAAGTATTTTTTACTGTTACTGGCCGAACTTAGCCGGATAAAATATCCACCGCGTTCAGACTCCGTCAATTTAATAATAAACTCTAGTTAGATGAGACATATTTTTTGTACTCTGACCACCTCATCCCGCGGATTTAGCATTTTACTACCTCCTGCCGGAAATAAACCAGCCATTTCATTCTTGGAGGTTTTTTCAAAATTTACCGGAATAAATTATGTTATAGAGACCGAAAACATGTATCCGGATATCTGTCACGATTTGATACTGATTATATTATACAACTGCAGTAATTTATATTCTGTACAAAACATAGTTTAAAAATGTTGCTGACTATTGGTTGATGCAGGTAGAATGCATGTAAGCCACCAACACTCATAGCGTAGAACCCACTTATCCATTAGGGTATTCATGTTTAAGGTATTATATTCCACAGGGATACTGGCCATACTAAGACGTATACAACAAGCATACTTAGGGCAAAATCAGATAACACCATCAAACAAAACACCAATTTTACCAATTTTCACCAAATGGCTGGTTTATTTCCGACTGGAGGTAGTACTTCGAAGTATGGTGCATTTCAACTAAAGATTACAAAAAAATGCCTTGTCTTTCGACAGCTATTCCAACGTTGTATTGATATTTTTTAGGAAAATAAGCCGTAATAACGATAGAACTGGCCAAGACCAACAGAAGTTACGGTTCAAAATTTCGATTGGTGAAAAATTGATCGAGTAATAGAATTTAAACTAACCACCTTTTTTGTATGGAAATATATGGAGCCAGGCACATGTTGGCCGAAAAGGAGCATCAAGTATATCTTGGTCTTTGTATACAGCACTTATCCGTATGAACTTTTCCACTTTATCCGGATTATTATGGATGTTTAACCTATTTACCAGATAAAAAACGTAAGTAAAAATAATTTAACGTCAACATTACGTGGGTTTAACTGAAATAACCGAGGCGTTTAATAGTAAAACGTCTCCTCCTGAGGATGGCCGATCTGTAGTCTTTAGATGAAATGCACCATGTGTGCTTGCGGGGGTAGGACTAAGTCCCGGGTTTACAGGGTTACGGGAAGAAAATACTGTATGCTTGTACGGTTGCCAGTCTTGGCTGAACGGTATCCAGCTTTATTGAACGTTTTCCCATAGTTTCCGGTTCTACAGTGTACGTACGGTGATCAATTGCCTTTGTTTCTGAACGCTTACGATTTCAAGTACTTTCATTCGATACTAAACCTTACGATCAATACAGCCTGTAGTAGGGTTCTACAGTAACGTTAGTACTTCGAAGTACTAGTAGAATGGAATGTCAATTTGGCTGTTTTCTGATTTATTCTGCATTCCTGGTAATGCGAGGGAGACGCACACATCACTTTGCGCATTATTCTCGTGCGCATTTTAACCTCCGCAACACATGAGCCCGCCGCAATTGTGGTGACCGGACTTGTCCAGGCATCAGGCGCATACATTGTGGGCGGATGGATGCACTGTCGTCGCTCACTACTGTAAGTCTAGGTGAATGTTCTGTCTGATACACATGTGTCTCCCGATTTATTCCTGTGATTCCCTAATCCTTGTGTGCACGAACATTTGATTCTACATGCAACCAATCCCACCTTCGACACTGATACAGTAGACTCCGGCTTCGTATGTCATCACCGTATCTGCTCCACCTGTCCCGAACCCAAATCAGGCATCATGGGTCGCTTGCCCCCCAGCCCTGATCCCAGTGGGTGATGTTGTTATCATCGGCGAACCTTTTGCTCACACATTGAACTCGACATATTCAAGGCCTACGCAATGCAAGTACTGAGAAGGGGCTGTAGGTCAGGCTTTGTACATGGAGCGAATTATCCCAGCCCGAAATCAGATGATCACATGTGAGAAATGTCATCCGAATTCACAATAACAGACTGTCTAACAATTCATACTATCTATTTTTGTTTCCTTATCGGGTCAAGACAACCTTCTCACCTTTCAATTTGCCAGCAACTGCATCATGGTCAAGCCTACTATCATCGCTGCATTTGCCGCTCTCGCCACAGCCAAAATCGCCCCCAGTGTTCACCGCCACTTGGAATCCAATGAGGACGTCGACGTTGTAATTGAATTCAAAGGAGGCAACCAGCGCGCCCTGGAAGTCGCCCGTCTTGAGCGGGCTAGCTTTAACGATCGGGGCTCCAGCATCGCCCATGTTCGGTCGCTCTTGGAGAGCAACATGGAGACGTCCCAGCGCGCGGCGGTGGATTTGCTGTCGTCGCAGCGCAAAGCCTTGACGACCCGCGTCGAGAGCTTCTACATCAACGGCAACATGCATGTGTACGGTGCCAACCGCGACGTGCTGGACGAACTCGCCAAGTTGGACAACGTGGCTCGCATTCGACAACCTGTCACAGCGCAACTCAGTACCGTCACCTTCGATGACGACGACGGCTCTGATGTGGGGATTCCTCAAGGATGGGCTGACAACAGCACAACGTCTGGACGAGCTGCAAACGAAAGGGGCGTCGACCTCATCGGCGCCCCTGCGGTGTGGGCTAATGGCAACCGTGGCGAAGGTGTAGTGATTGGGATAATCGACACTGGCGCCATTCACACCCACGACGACTTGAAGGGAAACTGGCGATCCACCTACGGCTGGTTCGACCCCATCGACAAGTCCCCAACCCCCATCGACATTCACGGCCATGGCACCCACGTCACGGGTTCTGCTGTTGGCCAAAACGGCATCGGCGTAGCTCCAGGTGCAACGTGGATTGCTTGTCTCGGGTGCCCCACCCTCGATTGCTCTGAAGCGGCGCTCATTGCATGTGCGCAATGGATGCTGTGCCCGACGGATGTGACCGGCAAAAACCCCAAGTGCGAGTTGGCGCCTGATGTAATCAACAACAGCTGGGGAAACGTAGGGAATTCCAACACTTTCCAAGCCGTCGTGGACGCGTGGCGCGCTGCGGACATCATTCCCGTGTTTTGCAACGGCAACGATGGTCCTAAATGCTCAAGCACGTGGCATCCAGCTGATTACAAGAATGTCATTGCGGTGGGTAACCTGGGCACCGATGATAAATTGTTTACAGAAAGCAGTCGCGGGCCAACCGCAGACGGTCGAATCAAGCCCGATGTGTCGGCTCCCGGGACTGAAATTCGTTCGGCATGGAACACTGGCAATTCGGCCTACCAAACCATGACGGGCACGTCTATGGCGTCTCCTCTTGTCGCTGGTGCCATCGCCCTCTACTTGAATGCGAACAAGGGCGCCAAGTACGATGAAGTGTACAATGCCTTCACGACCACTGCAGACACCAAGATGTTGCCTCCAAACAACCAGAACTGTGGGGGGGTGTCGGATTCCAAGTACCCCAACAACAACTATGGGTTTGGACGCATTAACGTCGCTAGCGCAATTGGAGGAGGAGTCGACCCCCCTTCCAACACAACTTCTGCCCCATCGCCGTCGAAGCCCCGCACGTCAGGTCCATCGACCTCGGACCCCGCCACCCCGTTCGTCGTGGAAGCCCAGCACATCAAATCCTTCGACCACCGCCACCAGTACCCGCCGTCCAATCCCTAGTTTTCCTGTGACGCCTTCCCCATCGTCCACATGCAATGGTTGCGCTGGTTGCTATTCTCCTCTGATCAAGTTATGATTCGTTCACGGATTTCCAAGGGACCGACCGGGTGTGGCAAACAGTAAACCTGCTTGAGACGTGAATTGCTACTATCACCGATCTAAATAGAGTCAACCAGTGCATAATGGACGATTGCGTTTAATTAAAAGTGCGTACAACCCATCTTGTCTCGCCTACAGCTGCAACATCATGCAGAGGTAGACTAAGTGTCTCTACTTTTCATGCATCGTGGTCATGATGAAACCCCGCGACTGGGCTAACGTTAGTATAAATTTGAAAGTCTGCACAGGAACTCAAGTTGTCGTCAAACGTGCCTTCGTACATCCAGATTTACCAATTATCAACATGCAATGTATGTCGTACAACAATTGAGCTGACACTGTGAATCCAGCTCGCTTCATATATGCTAAACCTCTATAAAGTGGTGTGCCAATTGTTGAACGCATTATTTTAACCTTCGTATACATATTCAGAGGTTTGTTCTGTGATTGGCGGTTTTCCAATTTAGGGATCAGCGATTGGCTTAGTTTTATACTATTTCGAAGTATTACGTCATTAATTGGCTGTTTATTATTTCGTCGAACGAAAGAGCTTGAGCAACGGGTGGTCAAAGTTGGCGTGGCCGGTGGTCAGTTCGCATCGTTCGCACAGGTTTACCAACGGACACGTGGTGCATCGGTACAAGATGCCCACGATGGGCGACACGTGGCAGCCAGCGCACACGACGGTCGAGTGACTCAGTTCAGACCGATTCTGGGTCACGTAACTGGACGCTCCATACTGCGCGTGACTGAGGCGCAAGAATGGGTGCGTTGGGGGGTGCCCCACCACATCCACGCAAGTCTCACACCGGTCAAAGTCAGGACACACGAGGCATTTGTACCGAATTGGGCCTCTACGCAACAACAACAGTATCGCACGATTAGGTATTTGAATATATTCGGTACTACTCATCGTCAATTAGGTACTAGGTACTAGGTACTAGGTACACAGTACTGTACGATCCCATCATTAGGTACTAGGTACTAGGTACTCAGTAGGAGGTACGTACTGAATACTCAGTCGGCACGTATCGCAGAAGACGCCCGTGTGGAGGTTGTGTGTGTCCACCTCTTCTGTCGTCGTGACTAGCGAGCCTGTCCACGTGGCATAGGTCTGAATGCTGGTCATCTGATTGGCCAGCGCTTGGATGACGGGCTGCGTCACCACGCCATTGCTCGTAGCTTGGTAAAACTGCCACGTCACGCGGATGGGGTACGCTGGGTCGCGTCTCATACTCGAATGCTGGCTCAGCTTGGCAAATGCGCCGTGAGTTTGGCCTATACACAAAAGATCTCGGTGAATATATATATATATATATATATATTGTGGATTTGATTCGAATTATGCTATTTTGGCTAATCCAATTTTGAGTGAATTTGATTGGCTGGACAAGTATATTCAACCAATCAGAACTCGAGCGTGATTCAAAATTGATCACGCTAATTTTGGACGTTTCTAGCGAATACACACTATATAACATGCTTTGTAAGACCAACAACTCATCGGCACAAGGATTTAACCAATCAGATTGCAGGAAATCAGCATCAACGTCAAATATTCGTGTGGTACTGAAATTAGTGTCGATCTGTGTTACTCAAAAATCACGACAAAGAATCGATCAATCGATTTGGCAAATCAGCACAAAAAGTCAATCAAAATTGAGGTAAAATGGACAATATCGTACCGAGACTCAACATGGCTGGCTCGACGTTGGCACTTGGCTCGCTGCGGGTGCTCATAAAGCTACTAGTACTGCTGACGGTACTGCCAAAAGCAAACGATGGCTTGGCGGATGTGTCTGGTGGATAGCCAAAGGGTATACTAGTAGTAGTACTAGTAGTAGACGCCCCAAATGGCATGCCTGTCGACACGGACGGGCGACCGATCAACGGGATCTGGACCACCATGATGTAATTCCGCGCTTCTTCGCCTTGGTCCATGGGGGCGCCCGTGTTGGCGACGCCGCGGCGGGTTCTGTCGGTACTTAATCGAGTGGCCAGGAACGTTCGCTTGATGCCGTGGTCGTTAAAGTACAAAATATCCCCTCGTTGATTGCCCTGCACGACTTGGGCACTATGCGAAAACAAAAACACGTTTCAAACATGGGTAAAATTGGCCAAAAATTGTAAAAATATACTCAAATAGACGAAACAAGTGGGGATATTGGTAAAAACGAACAAAAAATCTCGAAATAACTACAGTATGAGAGTACCTGGTGCCAGCATCAGTAGAGATAAGAACGAGCACTGCTGGATTTGTGGCTGTGGACTGGTAGTTGAACAATCCGACGTGAAAGTCGACATCGCCCGACGCGGAAAGCGGCAGAAAGCACGCCTGTGTGCTTACCTATATATGCACCAATTGGTAAGCAACTTGCGGCGAAATGCGTCGGACGTACCACGACTTGGTTGTCCTTGGACGGTTCAAATAGACTGTGTTCGAGCTCCGTGTACTTGGCGATGTTGGTCAAGTAGTCGGCCAGAGACACGGTGGAGAGTGCGACGCCGTCGTGGCGGGATTCGTTGCCCACCTTCACTTGAATCTGCGATGATGGGATCCTCATGATTGGATCTGCGTTCCGTCGTCAGTCGCGCTGGGGAGATGCAAAATGGACGTACCTGCAAAGTTTGGCGATCGAAGCACCGACATCCACGAGTTGTCCGACACTAACGTCATGTCCGAGATGCACGGACCGTAACAGCTGTTCTTCGAACGCGCGCAGTCCTCCCACGAAACGTTGACGATATCCAAGCCACAGGCTTTCGCCCATGCCTTTGCTTGCCCGTTGAACGCTAGCGTGGCGACGCTTCGGGCGGCAGAAGTATTGGCGGAAGGTGGTGCGCCAAACACAAACCCGGGACTGTTGGTGGCGGTTGGCAGCGGAGGTCCAAAGGGGCCCGACTTCGGCGGCTTGGCTCCGTACTGATTCGGAGGGTAGAACGACATGTTTTGGATTGTGTGTCTGCCACCAAAATGTGAATTTCACATCGACCGTCACTCTGTGTTGCTGCACGTAGGGAGAATCAGCCAATCAAAAGCAGAGATGGCCACTGTCAAGCGATGTGATTGGTCGGTTCGTCCAGAACCAACATTCTGCAGATGAAACTTGAAATAGTGTAATTTGTACAAACGACCGTGCAACAAGGTTACACACTATTTATAGCCGATGAAAATTTGCAAAGGAATTAGTGTTATATCGGAAACTGGACTGGTTAGCGCAAAGCACATGTCGCTGTCGCAATCGGACTTCCGAAGGCTCTTGGAGACGCCACGGGTTGCGCCACAAGGAGGCGGTGGTGGAATCCTCAGGAGAGATGCGGCACAATCCAAGTTTGGTGGGAAGCGAGCGGCGGAGTCGTCAGGGAAGGGCCTGAAGGACCGTGAAAAGTACAAAAAGTTCAAGAAACCCGCGGCTGGGGACGGCGACGAGGACGACCCTCTGAAGAAACCCCGGTCGAAAATGATCGATCCCACATACCAGGGAAAGTACAGAGATCGTGCGGCCGAGCGCCGGGCAGGTGTGAACCAAGACTACGAAGGTATGTCCCGATATCAACTCATCTACCATCCATCCATGAACGACAGATACTACATCGTGATCCCATCAGGTCTGGAAGACATCAACACGGATGAGATGGACATCGAGACGAGCAAGTTCTTGGGCGGGGACATGAAACACACGCATTTGGTCAAGGGGTTGGACTTGGCGCTGTTGGCGCAACTCAAGCGCGAAAAGGAAATGCTCCAGGAACAGCATGCTTCCCTTGTTCGGAAGGATCCTTCGTCGACAAGCAGCCACGGACCTACTTCGACGTCGAAGTCCACGCCGCCGTTGACTGCTTTGGGTATGCTGCTTCCTACAACCTCCTTCATGTATATCCTGTATGTACCTTCCCATATATCCCAACCCTTGTACCGATAGGCGCATTCTTGGTCAAGTTTATGACGAAATTGACTGTGGATCCTTCCGTGAAGCACATGTCGGATCTGTTCCTCCCCGGTCGGCTGCATTACGAGTTCAACATCCATCACGTCGACGTGGACACGCTTCCGCGGTTCGTCCAAGTGAGTCCGGACGACTGTCCCGTCGTGGATGCCGCCGGCGTCCGCGGGTTCCTATCGCCGCAGCTGCTGGAAGACATCCAGGAGTGCTTCCAGCAACCCAAGCACCCCCAGCGGCGGCAGCGGCAGGTCCTTCCCCCGCCGCCAACTCCGCCTCTTGTGGGCATCAAGGACGCCCATAAAGGACTCGCCACGATTGCCGAAGATGGCGACGACGAGAGTGAAGATGAAGATATTTTCGCAGACGTCGGGGAGTACGTTCCACCAGGTACGACGACGATATCAGTCGAATTGAATTTATAGTATATCGTCGTGGATTGGAATTTATACTGCAAGATACAATTGATTTTCGTGATATATATGTTTGTTGGAATAGATATATGTAATATATATATATATATTGTTGGGATGGCAATGTGTTCTGAATTTAAGCTTCCTCAATGTATGGTATACATATTTAAAGATGTGTTTATTATACTGCTCGGTCAAACTGTAATGGTTGGTCGATTTGATTGGTTCAATTGTCTCGTCAATGGTGTGCTTTGATTGGCTAGGTCAGTCTAGACTACATAGAGTTGCCAAATTTTCAATCAAAAGTCCATATAGGAGGAATATATATGGATTTTTGGCCATAATATAACCGTGTATGTGCACTAATGGACCACCGTTGAACTGTGTTAGGTGAAGAAGACACGGTGGAGGTGGTGTCGGTGCCGAAGGGGTCGATATTCCAAAACTTGAGCGCGGCCCAAGTCGCGCGGGATGTCCGAGAGAAGCAGCATGAGGCGCTGGAAGCTTCGCGGCTGGCTGCGACCCTGGCCAAAGCCAAAGCCATGTACGACAAGGGCCAAGAGATGGCCAAGGCCGACCGATTGCGGGAAAAGGTGGCGGCCCCCGACGACTACGACGAGTGTTTTCCAGATTACGAGGAAGACGAACAAGATGGGGAGAAGGATGAGAAGACGAGTAGCAGCACCGAACGATTCAAACGTGGAAAGAGTAAGCAACACATGGACAAGGGACAAGACCCAGTTCAACAGCCCACCAACCGCCGCGACCGACGTCAACTCCGGGCCAAGGAATAGTAACATAGTAACACGAGGGTTTGAATGTGACCACTTACATGGTCGTGGTGTACGTACATATATCGACAGTATTGTCCTTTGCAATTTGAACGGTAAGTGGATGTAGAATGCAGCGTCTGTACTCGTTTCTCAGGACTGGGATTTCAATTCTGAATAGTGCTGCATGTAGTCGACACCGTCTGATTATATAATCGGGTTAAATACACTTCAGCTTATTGTGCTTTTTAGTGAAATTTCGTGGTTTCTCGTTGGAAATTAAATCGATTTGATTGGCTACTTCAGATATGCTCAAAATTATTAACCAATCAAAACCTTCTCAATGAAATTCAACCAATCAGATCGATTGTGGATCGGTTTGGTCGGCGCGATTCGATGCCAAATTTGTATCAAATCGACAATAATTAGCGTTCATTATTTACTTCGATTTCCGCTCAAGTCAAGGCAAAATAACGGCTTAAGCTTTGGTGATTTCATTTTTCTAGTGATTCGATTGGCTCTTAATAAAGCAATTCCATTGGCCATTTTGAGTGCACCTTCAACTGTCCCATGTACCATAAACTGGTCATCTATGTTGATCTTTTTGCGTCTGATTTTAAGCTTAGTCCATGTATGTAGTATACAAAGTGGAAGATAGATATAATGTGGGTCCAAACGAGCGATGATTGGTTGAAATGTTTCGTTAGGACACTTTGATTGGCTAGGATATTCTCCAGAACGTTTGTATGGATTTAACAATGCTAGCTAGTATCGAGAGTCTGTTTATCGGAGCTTGGGGTCGTCTGTCACTTGGAGGTACCCGCTCTGCACCAAGAGGTCGACCAAACATCGCAAGGGAGAGAGGAGGAGGGTGGTGGCGGCGTCCGGTACTTGCTCCTCCAGAGCCCCGAGCGTCCACGTCGTCCCGGCGGCCGCCACTCGCAGGACTTCGACCACGGGCTTCAATCCGCTAGGGACCCGCACCGTCGTCTGGGTTTCGGCTTTGCACCCGTCCGCAAACTTCCGATACCCGCCCATGGCAATCGTATACTCGAGAGGATTATGTCCAGTCGTCACCAGCTGCGACACGTGCACAGGACTCCGCGTCAACACTGTCAACGGACTTAGCATCTACGACCACATTTCCCATCAAACATCATCATCCACATTGTCCATGTTGTTGAAGTTGAGTCAGATTTGAAGCTTATTCAATGTATATGGGATACAGTGTATACAATACGAAAGTGTACACTATACTAATCGATGATTGGTTGCAATTTCTCATTTGCGCACTTTGATTGGCTAGGACATCTCAAAATCATGTGTTCAGTTCATTCAATGCGACTCGAAGGTCGTCCAATCAGATCATCACGTTTTGTCAGAAACTCAAATCAGAGGTAGATCATGAAGACAGCATCCTCCGCATGCCATGCTCAAACCTCGTCACATCGGATCGTTCTTCGTACCTCAGAGGTCGAGTCCTCGGATGGTTCCAGCGTCCGCACCGCCGCCGCGTCGTCGCCATCCACGTCAGGCTCTTGGAACAACGCGTCCGGAAACACGGCGTCGACCTCGTCCGCCATGGCTTGAATGGTCGTGGCCAGCGCCCCGAGCCGCGCCTTCCACTGCGCACGCGCGTGGTCGGGTCCCTGCGAAAAGTCGGGGCGCTCCCGCCATGCTGGGTGCGAGGCTAATGCTGGCATCAGCCGATTCCACGCCACGTCCATCCACCGTGCGCCATCGATCGAAAAGTTCATCGACAGTGATCCTGTACAAGTCGTCATTAAACAGAGGGAATCTTGGAGGGTTTACCTTCGTCGAACGACGTCACAGAGTGCCAGTACCCTGCGGGCAAGTACAAGACAGACCCCGGGCGAAGTGTCACCGTCTCAAAGGACGACGTGGGCGGCGTCAGGTCGGTCGCCCCCGCCATCGCGTGCGCCAACGTGTCCTCTACTTGGTCACGTTTTGTGAATGTCGATCGAATATCGGACACGTTTTGTTACCGAGCACGGACGCCGTGTTGGACGACGACAGGTGTAGGTTGGACATAGGGTCGGTCAGCGGGCCCTTGGCATACGACCACTCTTTTGTGCCTGTCAATTGCACCTACCACTCATTCGATGTACACTGTACCATGCACTGGTACACTGTACCGTAAAGTTGTGCTGCGCGTCGAAATGCCATGGCGTATGGTGCTTGGATTGGACAGCAAACAGCTCAATGTCCCCGCCGATGCCGCCATCCAGCAGTCCACTGGTAAAGTTGAGCCCCAAGTCGGCGCAAATCGCGCGAATGTATCGGTCCTATCACGTTTTTCGGATGAGATAAACACACATACATTGCACATGCATGCACCGTACTTGGACTTCTGGGGACGGGTTAAAGTACAGCGAATGCCCGGCGGCGTAGCAGGCGGCGGCAATGTCGGGCGACGACACGTCCAGATACTGCATGCGATACGGTGGACGGGTCTGCTTGAGCCATGCGATGGTGCGCGATGCGTTCTGGATGAGTGCGGACACGTCGAACTGGTGGAGGTCTTGCCGCAGCGTCTCAAGACGGTGGGTAGATCCGTGCACCACGAACGCCTTTTGGTTATACACCTAGCCATGCACATGTCAGCAGAGAAGAAGACGGCGGCAACATCAGTGGCTTGCTGACTTGGCGCTGAAATGTGGACACATGCAATGGCCACACGAGCGACTGCAGGTTCGAGTCGACGATCAGTGGCGTCGTGGAAAAGTGCAGCGGCAACTGGCACCCAGTGAAGGATGGATCGAACACTGCGTCGAACGTCCACGACGTGTCGTGCGATGTGAACGAGTTTGACGACGGTTGGTCGCGGTGGGGAAGAGCGACAAACTGCGGATGCACCAGACCTTCGATACCCGAGGCGTCGCTTGTCACTCGAACGAATAGCTGCAGCCACGAGCTGCGGGCCCAGTCAATGGCGACAAGCGTGCCCGCCGGTATCGTGGATTCACCGATCGAGCACTGCTGCTTGATGCTTGCTGACGTTGGGTGGCCCGGGAAAGCCATAGCGGCGGAGGTGGCTACCTCCGCGGGGGTGTCACTGGCTGCTCCAGCAAAGTTGAATGAAAACCGGGACCCGCCAAAGGCCGCCGCCGTGTCGTCGTCGTTGTCGCGCTTGCGCTTTTGCATTTTTTCACTTTTGACCTTGCTACACAGACACGAATTGAGCGAAACGATTGGCTGTTGAGTGGTATCCGGATGTATTCGGATAACACAGGTAGTTTAGGTATTTCAAAGCACTTCAACATGGCACGTTGATGTGGTTTCTACAACATCAACGTGAAGGACGACGTCGCCGTGAATCACAACGCTTTGAGGGGCCATGCCTCGACAGTCTTATGCCACATACCTAAGTCAACATGCCACCTCAGACGAGTGGCAAGCGGCGTGTGTGGTTATGCTGCGCTGCCATCAAGAGCAACTGGTGTCGCTAGCCGTGTTGGGGTCCAAGTGGGCCAACGTTCCAGGGGAACAGGGCGTGCAAGTGATGTACAGCAGTCAGCTCGCAGACCTCATTCGATACCGCTCGATCATAGCAGGATCGTTCGACGAGCTACAGCACCATCTGGACACGTCGAATGTGCTGGCATTGTTGGCGCTCCCGCCGTCACCGACCTACGACATGTCATTCCTTACAACTAACGACGTCGCACAGGAACCCCTGCTACTACAAGATCATAACGACAGCAAGATTTGGATGCAATGGCACGAGGAAAGAATGCAGCTCGAAGGATGTCCGCTGGGAGTGGCCACGCTGACACTTGCAAATCACTGTTGGCTGGAAGATAACGGCAACATCGAACTCATCCCCGACTTACACGACGCGTTTACGGTCGTGGGGCTGCTGTATTCCCCTGGACCCATTGACAACCAACGCCGCAATGCCACCACCCAAGTGATTCTCTGTGCCCAAGTGTCGTCCACGTTTTCCGCAGTGGTGGCGTCAGCGTGGCGTGGGGTGGGCGACACTTTGACCCGGCATCTGTTGCAACTTCGACTGATGGCGGCGTGGCTCGAGCTGCCGTTGTCCGCGGGAAGAACGTCAACAGGTTTTGGCTGCGTTTGTTATCACTGTGGTCAACTGTGCGTCGGCATGTCGATGATCTGTTTGGGATGTTTGGCGGACTTGTGTTCGTGCTGCTGCCTTCGCTTTCCCGTTCAGTTCAAGCACCGCCAAGGGTGGACGCTTGAGGACGTGGAGGACAGTTCTAGCTGTAGAGACTGCTGGGCGCGAGTCCACGACTCGAATTTCGAGCTCCACTGGTCTAGTACTGTGGAAGAAAAAAAAATGGTGAACACGGACGACCACAACGAGTGTATGCAGACAAACGACATTGTAGAAGCTTCTGACCCTGGAGTTCAAGTGGACCAAGCTGACGTGACGTTTCTCCTATCACTTGCGACGGCCAAGGCCGTCCAAACCAAAAAATGTGCCACTGAACGCTCCCAACCACGAGTTGCCTCGTGTCCTGCAACCTTGTGTCGATGCCAGACCACGGAGGTTGTGCCCCATTTTGAAGTGATCTTGTAGTGAACTAGCACTTGTCCAGTGTTGAATGCTGTTAAATGTAGAGCGCATTAATATCAGTATGCAGCCTTTGTTGGAATCTTGACATTCCTAATCTTTCATTCCCCACGGTCCCCCACGTAATGCATGTACTTCGCCCGCAAACCGCTAGGTAGCTCGACGACATACTAGTAACGTCATGCTGACAATGAACTGAATAAACGCCTGCAGATATACTTTGTGCGTTGAAGTATTTGAACGCATCGCTTGTCAAAATTTGGGGTCCGAAGCAAAGATGCCATTTATAAAACTTGTTGCCCCATAATCACAATGAAACCGCAACTGTCGGCAACTTGCCCCATAATCACAATAACGTTAATGTAACCGCCACTTGAACCGGTTTCACGCTGAATGGAAACGTTTCAACCAATACCAGAGCGTGAAAACGTGTAAATTCGGCCTTGTAACTGCTTAAAATAGAACGACGGCAGCCAACGTTCCACCCTTGTCAGTCTTGCATTTTCTCGCTGTAGCACATCAGCCCACCCTCACCCATTGAAGATGACCCGCCCATCGAAAACAAAGAAGCAGGTCGATGTCCATTTGCGCATCCGTCCGTTGGTCAAGGAAGAGCTGGAGCGTCAAGACGAGCACTTGGTTTTGACAACGCAGAGTGGCGCGGACGGCACGATCAACCTGAGCCTGACGACCCCCAAAGCAGAATCAGACGACGTCGAGTTCGTCGAAGTGCTCGGGTTTCAAGTGCCCAAATCCAAGCCCAAGCGCGACAAAACGTTTCGTCGGTTCGTCGGCATCCACGACGACGTGAGTAACGCATACTTCTTCCAGGCGACGGTGGCCCCGCTGGTGCAGGACGCGCTGGCAGGCCGCACGGCGTGCTGCTTTGCTTATGGGCACACTGGATCGGGGAAGACGCACACGATTCTCGGCTACGGGGCCGAGCGCGGCATGTACCACCTGGCGTCGCAGCAGCTGTTTGCTGCCATCGGCGACATTTCCGCCCAGAACTCGAGCCTCGATGCAATCGATCTCCCGAAACTGCAAGTTCGGGTCAACGAAATCTACAACGGCGAAGTGTACGACCTCCTCAATGACAGCGCCAAGTGCTTTGTGCGGGAGGATGCCCACGGAAAGGTTCAGATCCGTGGGGAAACCGTCGTGGACGCCGACACCGGCCTCGTCACGACCACCGCGTCGACGAGTGTGTTGGCGGGGTCCCACGACGAACTGCTCGAGATTGTAAGTCGGGGCATCGCCGCCCGGAGCACGGGCAACTCGAACGTTCACCGCGCAAGCAGCCGGTCCCACGCGATTGTCGAGATCGAGTTTGTCTCAGATCGGATCTTGCAACTGCGCGCCAGCGTCGACGACCTTGACAGCGAGTACACGCGCCTTCGCCACGAACGCGACTCTTTGGAAATGGACATTTTCACGCGCCAGCACTATAAGGTGGAGGGCAAGTGGGTCAAGAAAGAAAACGCCCAGGGCAGCACAGACGACGAATGCACGCAGTTGCTGGACCTGCGCAAGGCGTATCTGGCCGTGGAAGCGCAAAAGCGAGGGGCCCAGCGCAACGTCGAAGTGGCACAGGCCCAAGGTACTTACCTACTTTATACAGTATAGGGGGGATGTTGATACGGGGGTCGCAGGCTTGCCTTGTGTGGGAGGGGCCCTTGTGTTTGTCGACTTGGCTGGGTCTGAGCACGCGAGCAAGATCACGGATGGCATCCAGAAGACGGACGAGGAGCAGCAAGAGTGCCGAGAAATCAACAAGTCCCTGAGCGCGCTCAAGGCGTGTTTTCGAGCTCAGTGCCAAGGCCTCACTGGCACCAGCTGCTACCGCAACTCGAAGCTCACGCTGGTCCTGCGCGACCATTTGAAGTCGGAGGCGTCGCATACGGCCATGATCGCAGCCGTGTCGCCGTCCAGTTTTCACGTGGACAAGACCATCCACACATTGCAATATGCGCAATTGGTAGCCGAGAAGTAACGATACTATATCTACTACGTGGTCGACATAAGGAAACCAATCTATATGTCAGAATTTGTCACGTGTGGAATCGTTGCGATGTGACAACTTGAAATTCCCATGATATTTGGATGGATGAACAAATTATTGTCTGCAACATCTTCGAACAAGTCGTACCAACATCAACACTGGCCACGCTGTCGAACAGCACCTTTCATTGCAAAGAGCAGTATTCTGGGGCCTGCTTGGTTGGTGCATACGTACCGGTACTGTAGCCTAGTCACTAAATTGACCGCCCATACATCATGTAGCACGGGGCGACGACGACACGTTCGCTTGTTGTATAGCGCTGTCCAAGTCCAATCCAAAACAAAAGTGCAGAAATTGTAGATTATCGTGTATACTGCTCACGGTTGCGCCACCATTTGAGCATACTGCAGCGTGTGGATGGTCTTGTCAACGTGAAACGACGACGGGGAGATGGCGGCGATCATGACAGTGCGTGAGCCGCCGTGGGCGCGCAGGTGGTCTCGCAGGGCCAGCGTCAGCTTCGACTCTCGGTAGCAACTCACGCTGCGGTGGCCCCGCGCCGTCGCTAGAAAACATGCGCGGAGGGCGCTCAGCGATTGGTTGATTTCTCGGCACTCTTGCTGCTCATCGTCCGTCTTCTGGATGCCATCCGTGATCTTGCTCGCGTGCTCAGACCCAGCCAAGTCGACAAACACGACGGCTCCGCCCACACAAGGCAGACCCGGGGCGTTGGCCACGTCGGCCTGCGCGTCGGCGATCTCGGCCTCGAGACGGGCGTAGAGTCGCCGGAACTGTAGCAGCTGCGCGCACTCGGCCGGTGTACTCGCAAGGGCGTCTGCCTTCTTGACCCACTTGCCCTCAAACTTGTCGTGCTGTCGAACAAAGATGTCCATGTCTAGCGAGTCCCGCTCGTACCCACACCGCCCCAGCTCGGCCTCCTTGCGCGCCACCACGTCGCGTAGCGCCAAGACGCGGTCGCTCACGAGCTCCATCTGGAGGAGGGCGTGCGACCGGCTGCTTGCGCTGTGGACGTTCGAGTTGCCCGTCGCCCGACTCAACGTGCCCTTGGTCACGATCGCCAGGAGTTCTGTCTCAGACGTGGCCAAGTGGCTGGACGAGAACGCCGTCGTGACCAGACCTGTGACAGCGTCCGTCGTCGTGTCGCTGCGGATCTGCACCTTGCCGTGGCCGTCCTCGCGCACAAAACACTTGGCGCCGTCGTGCAACAGATCGTACACGTCTCCGTTGTACACTTCATTGAACCGCACTTGAATCTTGACGCGGTCTTGGTCGTCGTGGACGTCCATGTTGACGCGGTCGAGGGCGGCAAACAGCTGCGTGGCGGCCAAGTGGTACATGCCGCGCTCGGCCCCGTAGCCGAGAATCGTGTGTGTCTTCCCAGACCCAGTGTGCCCATACGCAAAGCAGCACCCCGTGCGCCCCGCCAGCGCCTCGTCCACCAGAGGAGCGACCGTGGCGTCGAAGAACGAGCGGTTGGTCACGTCTCGGTGGACGCTGGTGAAGTGGGAGAAACGCTTGTCCCGCTTCGGTTTGGACTTGGGGACCTGGAACCCACCCAGCACTTCGACAAACTCGACGTCGTCGTTGTCAGTTTTCGGGAGCGAGAACGACAGGGATGTCCCGCGAGTGGTCGACGTCTGGAATGATAAGGTGGCGTCTTGGCGCTCGACTTCGCCGTCGATGAGCGGCCGAATGCGTACGTGGACGTCCACTGACTTCTTGACTTGCTTGGTGACGCCGCTGGCGCGAGATTTGTTTGATGTCATGTTGAAAAGTGAGGTGTGGAGTTGCGGTAGTTTCGGAATGTAGGTCTTACTTGACTATTGAATATGGGGAATTTGTAGGGCAACGGTGAGTGAGGGTCGTTTTGATAGCCATTCCTTCGATTACTGGGCAAATCCCACTGTTCAAGAGTGGGACAAGTCCATGTGGATTGGCAGTTATATTGTGTACACACTTCTCAAACTTTGACCACCATGCTCACGACGCCCAGCCCAAAGCACGAACCGCGAGTGAAACGAGCCCGCGTCACAGCCTTCCAACACACCAAGACCCCCCTGGAAGTGAGCGCCAGCGGCGTCGCCAAGCAAGTCAAGAAGTCAGTGGACGTCCACGTACGCATTCGGCCGCTCATCGACGGCGAAGTCGAGCGCCAAGACGCCACCTTATCATTCCAGACGTCGACCACTCGCGGGACATCCCTGTCGTTCTCGCTCCCGAAAACTGACAACGACGACGTCGAGTTTGTCGAAGTGCTGGGTGGGTTCCAGGTCCCCAAGTCCAAACCGAAGCGGGACAAGCGTTTCTCCCACTTCACCAGCGTCCACCGAGACGTGACCAACCGCTCGTTCTTCGACGCCACGGTCGCTCCTCTGGTGGACGAGGCGCTGGCGGGGCGCACGGGGTGCTGCTTTGCGTATGGGCACACTGGGTCTGGGAAGACACACACGATTCTCGGCTACGGGGCCGAGCGCGGCATGTACCACTTGGCCGCCACGCAGCTGTTTGCCGCCCTCGACCGCGTCAACATGGACGTCCACGACGACCAAGACCGCGTCAAGATTCAAGTGCGGTTCAATGAAGTGTACAACGGAGACGTGTACGATCTGTTGCACGACGGCGCCAAGTGTTTTGTGCGCGAGGACGGCCACGGCAAGGTGCAGATCCGCAGCGACACGACGACGGACGCTGTCACAGGTCTGGTCACGACGGCGTTCTCGTCCAGCCACTTGGCCACGTCTGAGACAGAACTCCTGGCGATCGTGACCAAGGGCACGTTGAGTCGGGCGACGGGCAACTCGAACGTCCACAGCGCAAGCAGCCGGTCGCACGCCCTCCTCCAGATGGAGCTCGTGAGCGACCGCGTCTTGGCGCTACGCGACGTGGTGGCGCGCAAGGAGGCCGAGCTGGGGCGGTGTGG